CCCATATGCAGGGCCTCTCACGATTCGTTTGGGTTCGTTCCGTTTCGCGCACACGTCAGTGGAGTTTTCGGACAGCCCTGAATCACAGCACGATTCTAGCGGTTCCGCGCCATGCCCCGATTCGTTTCGATTGTGTCCTTCGAGGCCGCGCCTTCTCTGGCCTCCTAGTTGGGGACCTCCAGCCTTCGAAACCCGCCTCCTCCAACCTTCGAAACCGCCACCTCCCATCTTTTGGGGGGCTGCCTCCTCCAACCGTCGGAAAACCACGTTCTTCAACCGAAAACCTGGTTTTCCACGAGTAGCAGGTGCAAAAACTTGTTTTGTTTCTGCCCACCCCACTTTTTTGGTAGGTTCTTCGACCAGGTTGAAGGGCTGCCTCCTCCAACCTTCGGGCCTTCGGGGGGGCTGCCTCCAACTGCCTCCTTATGGATAAACATCCGATACTGAAATCTCTGCGGTTGCTCCCACCGGGTCTATAACTCTAACAATCTCACACTCCCTGAGTTCCTGGACTTTAAACTGTTAGCAAGTTTGCGCGCTTTTTGCCCATCAACTCAGGAAGTGAGAGCTCCACATCTCAGAACTACGATCCCCGACATAGTGTTTCCGAACCCGGATCTGCATGCACCCGATGTGAGGTGATCGATGCGAACTGCGCATGGCCCAGCTCTCAGTAAGCCGTGCCTCTCCTTTGGGGGGCCTCAAGGTTTGTTCGTTGGGATTTGTTTGAACTCACTTCCTTGCCATGGAACTCAGAGTTGGCAAACTTTCCTTGCCAGAACTTTATCTTGCCTTCCGAGTTGGCGTTGCTTTAGCTCACTTGAGCCACTTGCCTCAAAACCGATTCGGGTAGATAAAGGTTAGTAAGGGATAGTCCCCTTGCCACAAATGGGTACGGGCCGCCATTTTAATTCTTTACATGGTTCTGGGACTACGACCATTTTAATACCGATCGGTTTTCATGACTCGACTCGCCTGTCCAATGTCGACTTGTTGACCATCGAACAGGGTCAACAAGGGTCAACAGAACTCACTGTGTTTTCCCCTGCCTGTGTTTTGCTCTTGCGAACAAGAGGGCACTCTCACTTGGGTCCCACGAGATCTGAAGTCACCTGGACTTCGTTCTTTCTGAGACCTTCGTTCGGCCTGGCTGGTCTCTGGTTGGGCCGGTCCCAACCGAAACCATACCAAGAAAAGGGGGGGAAGCCACGGCCTTTCCGCCATACCTTATACCTTGTGCGTGTTTGTGGATGGTATGGATCCCAAGTTGTTGATTCTTGTCGTTTTGTCTCCTTCTCTTCTGGTACCCTTAACTGGGTTCCCCAATAGTGCCCAAAACGGAGGGAGTCACCCTACTAAAATAGACTACAGAAAAAAGTTGGTACCCTTATTCTAGCCTCTCTACTGGAGGACCTAGCCTTAAAAGAGGGGCAAAGGAAAACCAGGGAAGCCACGCATTGGGTTCCATTGCCAGCCACAGCCCTGCACCGCCCGGCCGCGGGGATCGGCTCGCCTTGCGGTCAGGCGAAACGCTTGCGGAAGGCCATCGCGGCAGATGCGCTGGCGGGGAGTCTGAAGGCTATATGTTCAGCCTGCCGTTCTAAGCGGTTGTTGCACTACACCCTGGGAATGCACCTGGGAGTTGACCTGACTCATCTAGGCCCATTTTTCCGGATAGAACCGGGTTGTTTTATGAACCGTTCTGGGTCATTTCCCAAGGGTGTAATCCCAGGGTGTAATACAAACATCCTCAGAGTCGTAGGTTCTCGAAATCGAGGAAACACCAACATTGGTGGCCCTTTGGTGTCCCTTTCGTTTTTTTGTGGTGACCCTTATTTTTATTTTTATTTTTTTGGTGTCCCGTTGGTTTTCCGTTAAACCAACCCAATAAAGGAAAACACATCCTCCCAATCTGGCGATCGGAAAAGGGAATGCATGACATTGGGCACGCTCGCTCACCGAGTTTACTCACCAAATTCCCATGAAGGACGCAAGTTGACTGTGGCTTAGCGGGCTTAGTCGCCTATTTTATGTCGAGCGACTTCGGGGATGCGGGGTAACACAAGCGAGCACCCATCATAGGTCACTGTAGGTCCTTTCTGCACTCGTAACTCTAGTGTCTCCATTCCTTCATGTGAACTGATTTCCCTGCGGTGTCCTTTCACCGCCAAAGCGGGTCCAAGTCAAACAACCCCAAACTTGCGGCACTTTGCCTCCACGTGCAAATCCTACCTGCAAACGGACCACTACGCTGATAATTGGAGGTACTGTGGGTGGACGAAATTCTGCACCACCTAAGAAGTCCTAGAACGATGATTCCCCTGCCAATACGAACATGGCTTCAAAGTGGTGCGAACGGATTTCGTCCATCCACAGTATGTTATTGATTTTCATGTTTCCCCAACCAAGTTGGTTGAACCTCACGACGTGACCGATCCATCGGTCACACGCCCAAAAGCATCTGTTCGCCAAACACCACGGCACGAGGTGGAGGGCCCGGGCGCGGCGCTCTTCATCTTGTGCTCCGTGCCCGCGGATGCGCAGGAGAGGCAGCCTGAGTCAGCTAGCCTCAGGCATGATGGTGTCAAATGGCGGCGGTTGTCAAAACCGTTTTGGGATCCCATTTTGGGGTAGGTGCACCACCCATTTTAGAACCTATTTTAGTGGGGATTGGGATGTTCACTGGGGGTACGCGATTTTGACCCATGGCCACATTAGGTTTCTTGCGGGTTCTCGGCAGGGAATGAGAAATTCAATGACCCCTAACCATTCGCTATGACGCTATGGTTTCCTAAATGAAAGATACTTGCTGGTGCGATAGGCAGGGAATGAGTTGGAATGACCCCCAGAAACCATCCAACTAGTGGTTTCCTTTTCGGGAATCCCCAAAACCGGTTCATTCCCAACACCCGTAACGGTCATTCCCCTCCTGCCGCACTGGGGGCGCTTTCTGTCAGTCCAGGGAATTTCATTTCAAGTGATAGAGCAGCCATAAGACTTTTCAGCCCGTGGGAGTCACTAAAAATCTGCTTCTCCGCAAGCACGCCCTTAGGGGTGCTTAAAGCTAAAGAATGATTTCTGCTCAAGTGACTCCCTGTCATGAAACAAGGCACTCCACAAGCCCATTCCGAAGAACTCCCCGTAGTTTGAAGAGCTCGTCTGGGCCAGCTTGCACATTGCTTGCTCATTTTTGCTAGGTCCCCCAGTAGTGCCCTGCTCTCCCCCTTTTTCGGTTGGGAGGGTTCCCCTACTAACATAGACAAGACTGAAAAAGGAAACGGTACCAACTTATTCTATCCTCTCTACTGGAGAACCTAGCATCGCTTGCTTGGTCATTTTGAGATACATGTCCCTGTGTGAGCTCCAGGGGTCACACGGAACTTTAAGTCCCTTCCGGTGGAGTTGGACTGCGAGGTGGAAGATCACTTTGTTCATGGGAACCTTCGTGTGGAACTTATTGATGTGGAACTTCGTAAGTCGGTGGTAACCTTTGGGTTATAACACGTTAATGTTGATCCCGGATTAATGTTGACCCCTGTGTATTAATATGGGGGGGTTCCCCTCCAAGAGTCATAAATCCCCGCTAAAACCAGAATTGGGCACCCCCATATAAACAAACAGGGGTTTATTCATCCGAGGTCAACATTATTCCTGGCCCATGGGTTCCATGATGGGAGGGTGATGTTGTGGATGGATGAAATCCGTCCGCTCCAAATTGAAACCATGGTTGAAACCATTGTTTGTTGGTATTTGTATACAGGGGAATCATCATTCCAAGGTTTCCTAGGTGGTGCAGGATCTCGTCCATCCGCAGTATCGTGGATGCACCCTGAGAGGTGATACCAGCCCTCGGAAATGGATCCCCAAGATGTGCGGCTGAGTCTAAGTAAACGACTTGAAACACGAGGTGATTGCCCTGGGTGTAAAACAAGGCAACGCACCTGCAAATGCGAGGAAACACCGGGAACGGCACACGCAACGCGATTGGACTCAGTCCACAGTCAAGGCAGATTTGTCGCAAGTGCTTGGAATCTGACCCGCTAGATTTGGGGGAAGGAGCTCCGCAAATACACCACTATCATCATGTGGGTTTGTCGCTTTTTGAGGGTGCTGCTTTTCAGGTTGGTTTAAAGGGAAGCCGAAAGGAAATCAAGGTCTCCAGAAAAGACATGCCCATCCTGGCCGGTCCCTTCGGTGATTCTTGAGACCACGGTTCAACTCAACCACTGGAAAGATGGAACTTGGACGCACCACCCCCTCTTAGAAACTACATAAACCTATGGCCACGCGAGAGTGGCGAAACGAGTTCCATCACTGTCCAACCCCAAAAGGATTAAAGGATCTACCAATCCCCGGGTGCTATCGGGACCTACCTCGTACCTCAAAAAAAGACGACGGTGGAAAGGGTACCTTCAGACTACAAGAGCACACTCACACACAGATAATATATATATATATAATACGCCTTGCTTTGCATTTCATGTTATGCCAAGAATAATCCCATCCTTTCCAGATTCTTGTCATTCCCACGGAGATCAAAAAGGTTGGTTTTGGGAGGGGGGAATACATATTATATATATATATATAGTACGTATCAGAGGAACAGTTGCGCTTCTACCCAGTAACTCCCAACCAAATTGGATCAATGGCTGCCCCATTGTGGAATTGCCTTGATCCCTTGATCTTCCACCCCTTTGTCAGGGTCCTAAGACCAAGGTTACTGCAGCGGATTCCTGGGATAGTCTGGATTCCGAAGTTGACACTCCTGCAGATCATCAATTTAGAGGAATCATCTTTTGGCAGACCCTGTTTGGGTTGCATGTAGGTGTGCTCCCCCCTGCCCCGCCTTTTGGTTGGTTTTGATGGGAAACCAAACGGAAACCGGCCTCAAATACGGGACCACCCCCCCCCAAAAAAAAGGGGGCTGTTTTCCCTTTGGTTTCCCTTTAAACCACCCCCTAAAAGGATACCCGACAAGAACATACGCCCCCACATCACGCAGCGTTGGCGGCTTCAGGGATTCACAGAGGCATTTGCCACCATGGCTGTCCGGCGGCACGCGCTCGCGGCCGCCTTACTGCTGATCGCCGTCTCGCAGCAGGGGTGCGAGGACTGGTGTCGAAGTTGGTTTTTGTCCAAGTGGCCATGGGTCAAAAGCCCGTACCCCCAGTGAGCATCCCAATCCCCACTGAAGTGGACTAAAATGGGTGGTGCACCTACCCCCAAATGGTACCACTGGTTTTGACCCACAGCCAAGTGAGTAGCATCCAAAACCGTGTACCATGGTCAACAGACCATTTCAATGTTTGCTTGCGTGTGTTGATTATGGCTTGATCATGTCACGAATGGCTTGGTCCTGACAGCCTGTAGCTTGAATTTAGCGTTAATGTTCCCTATTTAAACAGGGCTCCTTAAAAAGATACATGTTGCCAATTTGAAACATGGCTTTTTCCACCAAAATAAAGGGAAACCACCACTTACAAGGCAATGTTCAGGTGTATAATGTAAGGATCCCTGTTAAACGCAAAACAAAAAAGCGGGTGTCCTCCCGGTTGGATTTAAAAGGAATCTATCACTACAGGACAGATTATTATTTTTCCCAGGGACCTTAAGCCAATGGAAGTCACAATTGACAGCCGAATTGCAAGGCTCCCTTGCGCAAACGTTGCTTGACAGGAAATCGGGTTGAATATGTGCAACATGTTCCATGTTTGTTTTCGACAAACCCATAGGGTTGGAGACTCTGCTCTGCTGGTTCAACTTCCTCTCTCAAATAGGCCGCCTCATCTCATTTCTTGCGCACTCCCTAATCATTGGGTGTGTCTCTTACAAACAAAGCCCCAAAAAAGAGTTGGTTTTTTTCTTGTGGCTTGCCTTCAAACCAGTCCCAGCAAGGGTTTCACCCCAAAAGACGAGCCGCCCATTTTGCATTTGGAACTCCCAAATCAGCTTGGTTCACCAAGCTGCGAGACTCGATTTCTGAGTTCCTGGACTTGCAGCTTTTGGGTTTGGAGCATTTGGAATGGATGGCTCGTCTTTTTTTAGGAATCGGACCCCAAAATTGCGCAACGGTTTCTTTTGGCTTCTCTTTAAAACCACTCAACATTGGGGCACCCTTTAAATAAGCGACACACCGCGCTTTTTGCGGGGTGAATAAGACGTTCGGTTGCTTCTTCATTGGCCAATCCACTCAGGTGAGAACATCTTTGGTTTCCTTCCGGGCGCCTCCCTCCGCTGCCGGAACCTGGTTTTTCTGTTTTAGATCAGTGGCTTCAGTGGACACATCTCAGGTAGCCCTGAGTTGCTTTTGCAGAAAGGGGATTTCACCCACCACACCGCCGATCTTCGGCTTCAAACCGGCCTCGGGGAAGCTGAGCTTGGCCTCTCACGTCGCCTTTCCGATCCCACTTCCATTCTATCCCGACGCGTTTCGTAGGGATTTTAGACTGGTGGAGATTTCACAGCCAAAGAAGCTTTCGCTGGCTTGGGCGCTTATGGGGATTTAGACCACCATAGGTTGCAAGGGGGTTGAGACAACCATAGGTTGCAAGTGGGTGTTTGTAAAACGCCCAAAAGTCTTTGTTGCGGGCTTTTAGGGATCTTAGACAACAAGTATAGCATTATAAGGTTTTGTATACTAGTGGGACGACCATGACAGACATACCGACGGATTATTGACCATGCCACGTGTCCTCGCTCAGGACATTTATCGCTTGACTTGTGTGTGGCACAGCGATCTCAACATCAAGGGCTGCAGCTTCTTGAATGCGACAGGGCTGTCGGGTTCCCGCATGATACCTGCTTGCAGGGTATGATGTCAGCCACTGACCGGAACAGGAGGTAAGACATTTACTCGTGGAAAACCGTTCTGTTTTTGCAGACATCCCGAACAAAGTTGGTATTTGGCGTCGGGGGATTGTGCTTGTGGGTCCCAGGTTTTTCTTTAGACTCCTGGTGTGAACGCCTGTTTGCGCTTTGTTGACAGCTATGGATATGAGCAGCATCTTGTCTCTCCTGAATGACAAAGCTGGCCAGCCCCCTGAGTTCTCCATTCTTGAAGCCATCCAAGTGGTGGGCTGACCTTGACAACCCTTTCAAGATTGTACATGTCCGTTTGATGAGCCAAAAGAACTTCCGAGAATCAGAACCGACATACTGATTCCTCGCACATACTGTGGATGGTTGTGAAATCCATTTCGCACCACCGAAGAAACCCTGGAATGATGACTCTCCTGTAAATACCAACGAACCAATGGTTCCCCGTGGTTGCTTCAGTGGTGCGAAATGGATTTCGTCCGTCCACAGTGACCCGATTCGAACAAATCCCAACCTCCACAGCACTAGCAGAATGCCGGGAGGTTCACATACATGTATGTATAGATCCATGCATACAGCATACATATGTATACCTATATATATATATAGATATTATATATATACACATATACAGTATATATTTATACATGCAAGTATACATGTGTGTGCGTGTGTGTGTGTCAAGCTACCGGGGTCCTATTTTTTGAAGAAACAAGCGGGTGTGCATTTGGTGTCCCTTTAGACCTACTGGAAATGGGTACCGCGCCTCCAAAAAAACTTGCCCATATTGCAGCCTTTGGAATATTGCAGCCTTTGGAACAAACTTGGGGAGTCTGAACTACAGAGTTGATGCCAATTACATGGGCGAATCTTTTTAGGGGACCCCCCGAATGAGGGGGGGACGTTTCTTTTGGTTTCCCTTCAAAACCAATGAACAAGGACAACCTCTCAAAAAACTAAAGCTCATGTTTAAGGCAATGGGAATGGGACTTTGGAGGTCCACTTGCAGTCTTTCAGCCCATGGGTTCCTTGTCGACCATAGTGCTTCCCCAGAATTAGCTTCCCTTTTTCTTCCTCTTGCTTTCTTGGGGTCCCTTTGTTTTCCACTCACCAGGCAAACAGGGGATATATGTTTTTTTGCTGGGGTCCTAAGTCCAGGCTAGAGCGATCAACCCTCTGCCACCCCATGTGGATCTCCCGATCTTCGGGAGCCTGGGATTGATGGGGGGAAAAAGTCCCTCTGGGGCAGTTGGTTTTCAATCTGGGGCCTCCCAGGCTGGACTCGCACGAAAATCAGTCCTCCCCGGTTTCGATGGCCTTTTGTGACTCCCTGGGGAAAAAAGTGTTTTTGTTTGTTTTTTTGGTTTCACTTGAAAACCAACCCAAAGGGCCCCTCAAAAAACACAGCCCCCATATCAACCTCTTCCAGTTCTGGGATGTGGGCTTTCAATTTTGAATGGGCCTGCCTATGTTGTAGCTTCTTGACCGTGGGATGTTTATTTTCAGGTTTTGGAATTGTTGTAGAATGGAAGCCCCACTTCTTCCTCTGGAACACTGGCCCCCAGTCGGCTTGCGTCAGATCTGGCCCTGATCCTGGATGGAAAATGAGAGCTTCAGCAGAAACCGTGAGGCTTCCATTCTCTGAAGGGTGCTCAACCGTTCTGGGGTAAGACATGGAAGGATTCCTGTGCTGGTCATTTCTCGTACTGTTTGTCCCGATTGTTCGTTCTACAGGTCATGTGGAAGAGATGCTAGCGAAAGGCGAATGGGTGTCTTGTTTGAGGGACCCCCCTTATCTGGTTGGCATCCTTGTCGATTTCGATTAAAACCGGCAACAGTGGGCAAAGTCACGTGCCGATTTTAGGAACCCGTAGCACTGGTTGGCTTTTTGTGAACAACTCCCATTAAAACCAATGAAACCAACCAACAGTTGGTGCGCCAAGACAAAGACACACCCAAATTCTAGGAACCGCTTTGGATGTGGCTTTTGTGGATTCACGTTTGCAGGATACTAAAACAGTACCAAAAGACTACCAACAAAAGGACCTACAGGGGGAAGAACAGGTGAAATCCACTTAAAAAGCGCAGATCACCGTTTTCTAGACACATGGCAATGAAACAATGAAATCATCGCGGGACCGCAGCCCAGGCTATTACGGATTCCGGCACTGCGTCGAGTGGTGCACCTACTGCGTGACTCCTTCGGGGCCTGATGAGTGTAACCAGATGAAGTGCGCCGCTTACTGCGCGGCCACTTGGTTGCTCTGAGTTCCACTTCGGACTTGAGTCACTTTTGGGGGTTGGACCATATTAGGTATACAACATGTTCCCGGACTTTGTTCTGGCCAATCCATTTAGGAAGTGAGTCTACGACAGAAAACCTACCAGGGTCTTGGCAACTCCAGGTATTTCCTGGTTGACCAGCAAAAGCTTCGCAGCTTTTTTTTTTATGTTTTCCGGTTCTGTATATTTTAAGTGGTGGGACTGAAAAGCAATCTTTGAGTGGTTTGCTAATGTACCAAGTCAAGAGATGCCCCTGTATAGTAGTAGCCAACAGAACCAAGATGAACCAAAGCTGGTTGCCTAGGGGCTTTCGGATCTGGGAAGGGTTGGGAAGACAAGCTGCGCGAGGACTCCTCCCACCTCGTCATGGCACCTGACAAAAAACTGGTCCTTAGAGGACATCTTGATCTTCCAGAGGTGCCTCCCCACAGGTGCTATGTTAGTGGGAGGAAGGCTACATTTTTTGCCACCAACCTTCTTTCCACTGCAATCATTGGTCTGGTGGATATGTTCCTCTAGATCTGGTCGCAACATGAGAGGGGGTAACAACTGGTAAAAAAAATAAAATAAAAAAATGGGGAAACCACGGGAAGTGCATCCGTTATCCGTTTACTGGATGAAAAGACGACCGCCAGAAACTGACTGACCAATCTAAGGTTGATTCCCCATTCTCTTCACCCATCGTTCTCTTTCGAAACTACCTACTTTCCAGGGGTTTCCGTTTGGATGAAAAGGCGACAGCCAGACACGGGTTTGCTTTATTTGAAGAGAAGGATCCCTGAAGAGAATGGGGAAGGTACAGCTGGAACCAAGGCCAAAGAGAGCGACCAGGCCTGCATCCAGAACTTCAAGGCGCTCGCCGGTTGGTTTTGCCGTGCGTTTTTGGCCGGGGGAAGTGGCCCGCCGGTGCATTCAACACCAGACCGAGGAAGATCCTTGGGTCTGCATTTCTTTTTGTAGGGAGCCCGGTTCGGGCGGGTCTTTTTCCATACAAACCAGTATCAATTAGTCCCTTCTGGGGGGCCCTAAAAGACACGACATCCATTTCGCAAAGAGCAGGGATGGTAGGGCCAACGGCGAAAAAAGACGCGTGTTCAACAAATTGGGGAATGCCGAAGAAAGCAAAGTGCAGCTTGACTTGATTTTCGGGGCTTGTGGCTCAGTCTAAGACCCCAGCTCTGGATTTTAGGGGAGTTGGGGTTCCATTGGGAAAAACGGTCTGATGGCTAGGACCCCCTGCCAAGTTTCACTTGGCTGGTTCATCATCTTCCGCCAAGTTACCCTCCCGTCCACGTTGCCATGGAACCTGACGTTCCGCAACCCCCCTTAGGTAGGGGCCGCACATTCAGCCAGATGCAGGACATCTGACCGGATGCACGGATTTGCGTGTTGTACATATCGGTCCATTTTTCTGTCACTGCCCTGGCCTTTTGGCATTGCGAGAATCCGAGAAAGGGGATCTCTGTGGGTTTGTTTGGGTTGGAACCTGTGGATTGGGCTGGGAACCCTGAAATTATTTCCTGGTTTCTCTTCGAATTGGATCCCGGAGTGTAGAGCGGTGCAAATATGTTAGACATAAGCCTTCGAAATGAGTCGGAGCCCCTGAAATGCAAATCCTTTCCTTTTGGTTTCTATTGCCAACCCAACAAACCAAGCCCGGATTTCATCCCCAACAGCCCGAAACTGCCTGGAACCCTCCTCTTGAACCCTGCCTGAAAGCTGCCCCAATTCACCCCGGCGCAGAATCTGGGCAGAGACCCCATCCGCCCTCCGCGCTCCACCCTCCTCGTTCGCGGTCACTCCTGTTGCCACGCCTGTGGCCACGCCAGCGGCGCCACGTCAGGCCTTGTGCAACATCGCCCTGGAGGAGAACTTCTTGGTGAACAACACCCAATTCACCCAGCCGCTGAGCAAGGAAGCCGCTGAGCATTTGTGGGACTCCATTTAACGACACATTGGGAGACCTGGGGGCCATGAAAACTTGAGTTTTACGGCCACCTCACATGGACCACCCCCCTTCACAGTGAGAAAGTACTCCTAGGGTGTCCCCCTTTTGGAGGTCTCGTTGACTCAGCCGTAAAAAATGGCCGGTGGGAAAAACAATGTTGCCATTAACCCTCAGATGCATCTTGGTTTCCCTTTTAAAGTAGCTCTGGTTGCGGACTTGTTTCCACCAACCCGTCTTAGGTACACCTTGGTTCCTCTTTTGAGCTAGCTCTGCCTGTTAAAGATTACCAACCTAGGTATGGGAATACAGTTTGCCATCGTGAAAAAAAGAGCTCTGGTAGAATGTCTCAACCGGCAACCATTTGCTAGGCCCGAGGCACTCCCCTGATAAGGTAGCTCTGGTTCGTGCAACGTGTGCTTTCCTTCCTAGGTATGATTACCATCCCTCCCACTAACATGGCACTTGACAGGGCGTCTCTTCAAAGGAAGTTGATCTTCCAGGTATCCTCCACAGGTGCTGTGTTAGTGGGAGGAAAGTGACCTTCTTTCAGCTTCAAACTTTGGAAACACGGACGAGCATTTCCTGAGGCCGTGCTTCCCTTTAAGGTCAGTCCTTAAAAAGTGGAACAGAGTTTGTGTTCTCTTATACAAAGCCTTATGCGGCTATGAGCCTTGATGTTATCCGTGTGGTTTTGGGAGCTTGGTGTGCCTTCAAAGGAGACAGAACCCACATTATCCCGCCAACCTTTGTTTGGAAGTGCACAAACCCAGACGGTGTCTTTGTGTAGGCGACCCCCGAAAAGAATGGTGGTTTTGCTTTTGGTTTCCCTTGCAAAGGCAACTTGTTGATGAACTTCCATTTGGTCAAGACGTTTTTTTTCCCTGTTGGTTTTAAAGAGAAATCTATCACTACTGGACATATGTTCTCATTTTTTCCCGGGGACGTATCCGCAAATGGAGGTGAGTGTGGCTCAAAATTAAGGAGCTGGGGTTACGCGGGTTTTAGTCTTTGGTTCCATTTACCAAGATGCAATTTTGGTACCACTTTTTTGAGCCACAGCCAGGTGAGTGTGGTGCCAAGTTGTGGGTCCCCAAGGTACACCTGCGACGTGAACTGCAACTCCTCGGGCCGTTCGGGGCCCAATTGGCTTCTCCTCCTGGGTCTCTTCGGAGTCTTCGGCATGGGAAGCTCGGCGACGATTTTTTATATATATGTTTTTTGTTTTTATTTTTTTTGGGCTCGAGTAAGGCTGCGACTAAAAGTCCTTGTGTCCTTTTTGGTTGGTTTGGTGGAAAAGTAGATGGCGATTCCTGATGGTTTACTCGGTGGTTTATCACCTACCAGGGCCATCTATTTGCCCTAAAAGGACACCTATGCTAAAAGTGCTCTGTGGGTCGCGCCCGGGGCCGGCCAGCATAATCCGCACACAAGAGGTGCTAGACTTTAGTCACTCTTTTGGCAAGGCCATGTTTAGTGGCAGACATAGAGTTGGGGTACTTGTGTTTGGCCCATCCACTCAGGAAGTGAGTATTTGGTTGGATTTGTGGACATTAACTTGGCTGTGGCTCAAGAAAGTGGTACCAAAATGGCACCTTGGTAAATGGAACCAAAGACTAAAACCTGCGTAACCGTGGCTCTTTAATTTTGAGCCACACCCACTTGTTGGTCGAAATATTGAAACAAATCCGAATTGGACCAATAACATGTTGCTATGTTTTGCAGAGGGGTCAACGGCAACCAAGTGTAATAGACTAAAACGTGGAGTTGAGGTCGGGATTTGAGGTTGATAAAGAAGGGGTTTGAGCTTGTTGAAGAAGGGTTTTTGAGGTTATGGGATTTCTGACCTAGCTTCACTAAGGATCCTGTTGAGCCACCACAGGAAATCTGCTGGTTTCTATGAAGAGGTTCGGTCAGAATATCTGGTTCATTTGGGAGGGACATGGGTCACTAGGTTTCTTATAGAAACCGAAAGACTCACTAACTTGTCCACTTTTCCCATATCGTTTTGCGGACACCTCGGTCATTTGACGCATCTCACCGAGGAAATCTGCCAACCCCGACGCTGCCGAAGCGCGGGGGGCTGGTAGCCTTGGTGGTCGCGGGTCTTGGGGCAGCGGTGATGCTCCAGGGCTGCAATTGCGCGGCGTGGATTGAATTGGCGCTGGGGGATGTTTGGGCGGGGGGTGGGGTGGGGTGGGAGGTGGGTGTGGGAGGTGGAGGTGGGGCTGGGAGGTGTGGGTGGGGGGTGGGGTGGCTTGAGGAGGGGGGAGCTATTGTTTGGCGTTGTTGTTGGACGATGTTTTCTGGGTCTGACTATGGCACCAGCAGACGTTTTTCGACTTTTGGGATGGGATGAGGATGAGAACTGTTCTTTTTTTTGAGTTGTGGGGTCCGATTCCTAAAGGAGACAGACCCGTCTGAAATCTCTGCAGTACCAACTTGTTGTGGTTCTCCTTTTGCTGTCCCTTTTAACCCATCCCGAAAAAAAGGTACTGAGCCTCAAAAAAGACGAGCCACCCATATTTCCCCCATGAACTCCAGGAAACTCGCTCAAGATGTGATGTGTAAACCGGCTAAGGGAAATGTGGGGACACTTGAATGACCGTAAAAGAAGGGACCGCTGTTGGTTTGACCATGTACGGAACCCACCAAGCAAAAAAGGAAAAGGGAAAGCCACGGTTAAACCGGGCAGCGCCAAAAAATGGGTGTTCCCTGAAATACTCCCCTGCGACCACCCCCACGGTTTTGGAGGGAGCTCCGTTTGAGGAACCTCTTTCGGCTTTTGGGATCTATGCTGAATTGCTGGGAGTACGGGAACCCCGAAAATGCCGAGTTTCCCCTGAAAACCATCCAACAATACGCGGTCCTTCTTGAAAACACACCCATTTAGCCTGACAAACAAACAAACAATCAAACAAACAAATACACACACGCGCACACACACACACACACACACACGCACACGCACACGCACGCGCACGCACGCTCGCACGCTCGCACGCGTGCGCGCGCGCGCGCGCACGCACACACGCACACACGCAGACACGCACACATTCACACGCGCACACATTCACACGCGCACACATTCACACGCGCGCACATTCACACGCGCGCACGCGCACACGCACGCATGCGCACGCGCGCACGCGCGCACGCGCACACGCGCACACGCGCACACGCACATGCACGCGCACGCACGCGCACGCGCACGCGCACGCGCACGCGCACGCGCACGCACACGCACACGCACACGCACACACACACACACACAAACACACACACACAAACACACAAACACACAAACACACAAACACACAAACACACAAACAAAAAAACAAACAAACAAACAAGCAAACAAAACAAAACAAAACAAAACAAAACAAAGCAAAACAAAACAAAACCAAACAAACAAACACACACACACAAACAAACAAACAAACAAACAAAACAAAACAATACAATACAATACAAAACAAAACCAAGCCAAACCAAACCAAACCAAACCAAACCAAACAAACAAACACACACACAAACAAACAAACAAACAAACAAACAAACAAACAAACAAACAAACAAACAAACAAACAAACAAACACGCAAACAAGCACGCACACACAAACACAAAAGCAAGCAAGCGAGCGAGCAAGCAAGCAAGCAAACAAACAAACAAACAAACACACCAACCAACCAACAACCCCCCCCCCCCGACAAAAAAAACACAGACACGCACATGCATGGTCCTGAATATAGAAGTTATTGTTTTTGTATAATAATAATTACAGCTATTATTATTCTTATTACTTTTTCTTCATTATTGTGGCATGTATACACATGTATATATATATATATATATTGTCCGGGGAATCCAAAGCAGCTGTCAGGGTCCCAGGTTTCCAAGGGTCCGAAGTCGGAACTCAGGACCCGCTGCCGCAGATGGACTGGCGTCCTGACGGGAACACCTTCAACGAGCGCACGGGCCGGGTGATAGATGGGATCTGGCGAGGCGCGGGGGGCAGGCTTTTTTTGTTTTGTTTTGCGCAGTCCACGAAAGAAACGGAATGAGAGAATGTAGCAAAGGAAACCACCAGTTGGATGTTTTTGTGGTTAGATAAAGGCCTCAAACACTTTTATAGCAATGGTACCCAACAGCAAGGGGGTGTGGGACAGGTGTCCATCAACTTGCTGGTGCGATAGGTATTAACTGGCAACGAGTCCGGGTGTTGGGAATGAACCGTTTGGGATTCTGTTAAAGGAAACCGTAGGGGATGGTTTATAGGGGTCATTCCCTCATTCCCTGCTGAGAACCAGCAAGACAAGTGAAGATTGGGAACCCCAAAACAATTGCTGCGCGCCGCTTGACTCAAGGAACGGACTGGTTGAACTTGGGTCCCTGTGGCATGTGTCCTGCGTGTGTGGACACTGCTAGCGTCCTTCCGCCCGGCTGTTCGAGAGTCGCGCATTCGTTCGGAAGAACATGGGGACTCGTTCCGAACGAACTTGTGACTCGGTCCACGATATGTGCGCGTGCAGCTTTTCCACGAATCCTTAGAAGAAATGGGCCGTAGCCCCATCGAAAGGGGCACAAATGGGAAACTTGCCAAATGGTGGGTGTTTCCTGTTTTGGATCAGCTGGTTGTGGAAAATGGGCATATTATTTGAAAAGCATGGGATTTCCGAATTGTAAGGGTTTGGGGGCCCGGGTATTTGGGGGTCTAGGTATTTGAGAGGCACTGGATGGGACTTGTTGTTTGTCTTCAGCAATCCGAAGGATGTATCAAGGGGCCATCTGGATTTCTTTTGGATGTTTTGTGTGTGTGCGTGAAAGTGTGTGTGTGTGAAAGTGTGTGTGTGTGTGTGAAAGTGTGGTGTGTGTTTGTGTGTGATGTCCATGGCGGGCGGTAAGAACAGGACGTCAGTGCGCCTGACAGTGCCTTGACAGATTTGAGGAGGACTTTCGCTTGATCTAGGAGTTGATTCTCCATTCTTTCCAAACAACAGCTGTTTCCCCTGGGGTTCTGATGGTTTTCCGGAAAGAAGGGTCCCTGAAAAAAATGGACATGGAAGTGTCATTAGACTCATGGTTTTTTTGGTCGTTTGGTGGGTATGAAACCCCATTAACCCTCAAGAACCAAGGGTGAAATAATTCTCGGGGTTGACTCCCCAGAGTGTTGTTGTTCTTTTTCTTAGGGGTGCCCCTGGTTGGTTGGTTTTACGGGGAACCAACAGGAAACCCGCCACTGTTTGGGGTTCGCCTAAAAGAGAGCACACCCACGTGAACTTGACATACTTATCTGTGTTGCATTTTGCCAAGGGATGTTAGGACTTTAACTCTTTGCCAACTAATGAGTTTTCCATTAAACCACTAAAAGTTAAAAACTTTCTGCCGGGCTTCGCAGAGTTCGCAACCGAGTGAGCCACCGAGTGTCCCAGAACGCTCGCTCGCGGCTCGTTTCTGGCATCGCCTTTTCGCGATGGGAAATCGAGGCAACCCCACCTGGTCCTGGAGTCCCGAGCTTGAAGCAGAGGACTACCAGTGTGCTCCTGGGCAAAGTGTTTCCAAAGCAGCTGGTTGCAGATGGGGGGCACCGGGTATCCCTTGGGGAAGCCAAGAGTGGCGAAAAGCCGGCAGTTTGAATTTGGGGGGTCTGTCTTTTTTTGAGTTGGTGCCCCGTTCTGAGTTGCAAATTCGGACACCAGAAACCTTCCAGCAACTCAAACATGCTGGTTGCAAAACTAGGGTTCTGACTAAAACAAAGCAGTGCAACAGCAACTCTTTTCGGAGTTTGTGAGAAACCTGTTTTTTGGGCAGTTGCGCAAGATCTGGCGGGCTAACACCGGGGATCTGGCGGTCTAAAACCGCGGACAGAGAGGGCGGCTTTAAGGGTAGCAGGGCCTCAGAAATGCGATCGGTTCCAGGAATTGCAATTCACCAAGAGGATCTTTCTCCGTTCCCAAAGTTGAAAGGGATTTCCCGGTCTAAAGACAGGAGGCCCCGTGTCGCTTAGTCTACTTGAATGGATAAAGCCCTTGCAAGTATCGACCCCCAAAGCCAATATCTTCAGTTTGAACTAGAATTCGCGCAGCCTTTATCATGTCCCCCCAAACCCACAACCCCCCCCCAACCTCTTCACCCCCCACCCCGTAATTCCCCAAGATAACGCCCAAACTTGCGGCCCTCGAAGCCGTGTGGTGAGCCTTGGGAGCCTTGGGCCAGGCATTGCTTTGCAGTTCCCACCGGTCAGAAAGACGTTTGGAATCTTTAGACTTTTACTTTGTTGCATTTTGCCAAGGGATGTTAGGACTTTAACTCTTTGCCAACTAACGGGTTCTAACGGTTTTCCATTTAACCCACTAAAAGTTCAACTTTTAGCAGGGGAGCAGAAAGCAACCGAGTTTACTTGGTTGCTATTGAGTTGGATCTTTAGACTTGAACTGTTTTGCAAAATCAAAGGGTTTTCCATGAAACCCACAGAAAGGTAAGCGTTTTGCAGAGGGATGAACAACATGCAAGTTTAGAGTTCGGGATTTATTACATATCCCGCAAGTGTAACTTTTGGCAAGGGATATGCCTGGTTTTGTGGAACAAGCATCACTGGACCCTCCATAGAGGTCTGGATCTCTGGAAGGGTTTGGAAGCCCAACACTTTAACGTTCCAAGATTCCTCGGGAACAATAAACAACAAAACTGAGGTAGCTATCGGTCAACATATACACCGGGAATTGGACATCAGGTTTTAGTCCTTGTTTCCGTTTCCCAGGGTTACCCATTTTGGGGTTACCCATGTTTTGACCCACACCCATATAGATATATATATATATATATATACCCACATATATATATACATATGAAGTAGAAGGGACGAGCATCACCACCTGCTACCTGCAGCAGCTGTCTCTTTGTTCGTTGTTCCAGAAATCCTGAAAAACGCTTGGGGCTCTCTTTCTGTGTGTTCCTTCCGAAAAAAAATATGAAGAAAAAAGAAGGAAAAAACACAAACAAACGCCTGAGGTCACCATGAGCAACGGGGTCTGCGTGGTGTGGACGGCCCACGAGTGGAACTGCCGGGAGCACGACTTCGGGGTCTGCAAGTGCTACGAGCTGAGCTCCTCCGGGAAGTTCTGCGCCAAGTGGTCACTCGGCGATGCAAAGACTCAGGCTCAAGGCGTCCTGGTTGTTTGAAGGGAGCCAAGGGAACCCAGTTCCGTGGTTAGTTTTCAGGAAAACCAGAAGGACGCCAATGTTTTAGGGGAAGCGGGCTTCTGGGGAGGGGGGGTTCTTGCCGGTGCGATAGGTAGGGAATGAGAAATGGAACGACCCCCATAAACCATCCAACTGGTGGTTTCCTTAAAGGGAATCCCAAACGGTTCATTTCCATCACCCGGAAGGTCATTCCCTACTGGGCACTAGCAATATTTCAGGGAGAGGGGTTTTGGCGCTAAGGTTGTATGTTTACCACCTATATGTTTGCGGGTGTTGCCTAAGAAGCCGACATGTTTGTGGTATGATTCATTCCACGTTTGGTTGCAAACCCCAAGGTAGACATGGTTGTTGTTGAGAAACATTTTTCCCATTTTGCTTATTGTGGTTTAGTGGTTGAAAACCAACCACTTAACTGCTAAACATTTTGAAAATCGTTGCTCCCGTTCCAGCGTCAAGCAAGTGGACTCGATTCAATCCGAAACCTGTAGGGTTGGGTCAAAACAGGAAGCCGCTTCGGCTCAGGTTTGATACTCACGCGACTCAACCAAATGGCATCTCGGGGGGGGGCCAAGTTAGTTTTTTTGGTTTTCGATCCTTCATAGCCTTGCCGGGGCGATGGGTAGGGAATGAGAACTGGAATGACCCTTATACACCATCCAACTGGTGGTTCCTATGCCCACATTGCTCTGTTGATTCCCCATTCTTTTCACGCATCGTTCTTTTCCCAGCTGTTTCCCATGGTTGTTTTGGTTTTCTACAAAGAAGGATCCCTGGAATGGGGATGCTCCCCTTAGAATTCCCTAGCTGTCGCACCAACAAGGCAAGTAGACTGATTTTCAGAAGGCGAGGGAGCTGCAAAGAAGCGAGGGAGCTGCAAAGAAGTGAGCGACTGACCTTGGGGCTACCCTTCTGAACTTCTGGGAGGAAGCTCCTGGAAGATCAATGGGCTGTGGTGGTCAAAAATAGATTTGGTAACCCCAGAATGGGTAGCCCGATCGGTAAATGGAAGCATGGACGATGTAACCAGCGGTTCAATTTCTGGTGGTGACCAATTTTGATACCCAATTGTCCCTTAGGGACCGCAGGTGCCATGGTAACGTGGGGAGGGTAGAAAGGACGAAGGGATAGAATCTCTGGGGCTTCGCCCATCTATGACAGGGTAGAGAGAAAACACGACGAAGCCGAACCACATTTCCGCGGTTTGGTCATGAACAAGGGCATCATTCCTTGAAGGGGCTCTGTGAACCTTCGGGAGATAGGCCCTAATCTCTCCCCTCACTTAAGCCACAATCAAAACCCGGGTAGATGAAGGTGAGTAAGGGACAGCCCCAGCCAGAAACAGCTGCGGCCGCCTTTAATACCGGGTTTCGTTGACGAGCAGTGGGGTTAAATTGAAGGCAGGCCACGAGCCACCCCTCGCTTTTAAGTCGGGACTTCCGTCGACAGTCGACGGGGATGCGCCAAAAAAGGGCGGACCCCCCAAGATGGTGGTTTTCCTTTTGGTTTCCTTTTGAATCCCCGGACAGGGTAATTACCGTCCAAAACACGCACAATGCGCACATTCTGGATGAAGGGAGTTTCTCACATCTCATGGTTTTTGAGGAGTTGGGAATCAAATAAGCCTCCCCAAAGCCTCCCAAATCCGAAGTCTCCGAACCCCGAAAACCCAGTTCCCCGAGTCTGCGCTTACTAGCTCTGGGTGTCTTTCCTTTTTTCTTTTTTCTTTTTTCGGGAGCCGCCCCATTGGCTGCCCTTTTGGCTTCCCTTTTTGGAGCCACCACTTTGGGAACTCCCCTAAGAAAGACAACACTGGGGTAGGGTCAGTGCGTCAGCGCAAATTCCTGCCATAGTAGGTGACTCTTGGTGTTACGTTATGTGATTACCTTGCTTTGGGTTGGTCGACTTGGCTTCATACAGATTATGGCCGTAGGAGCCTGCTTTAGTAGGTGGTTCTACTTGGTTTCTTAAAGGTTATGCTACAAAAGGTGATCGTAAGGCCTACATGGGCCATTTGTTGTAATTGTTTTTCTTTTTTTTAAGGGGACCACCTCACAGGTAGTGGACATCACCTAAATGTTGTCGACCGAAGGGTCCCTGCAATTCGCACCCATATCAACCCTAATCTCCAAGATGGGTTCCTCCACTACCCCCAAACCACTACTCTCCCACGTGGCTTGGGGGTAGTGGAAACCACATGTGGAGGGCACCACCTAAGAAACCCCGATTCGATTCCCCTGTACATACCAACAAACAACTGTCATGGTTTCATTTCGCTGTGCGTACTGGATTTCGCTTTTCCCGTAGTTCTTTGAAGAGGACCCACACAAGTTAATGGAATTGAACAGCCAGTATAGCGGCCCTGCAAGGATTTCCCACGGCTTCTTAGGTTGTGCGAGAAGCGGATTTCGTCCCTAAGCCCTGGTAGAAGCGGCCGGCTCTCGCGTGCGCCCCTTTCAAGCTTCCGGTTCCCAGGAGTTGCTACAGCCTGGAGGCGGACCAGGAGATCTGCGAGATGCGGCACACCGACGACGGGGAGCAGGTGTCCTGCTGGTACTCGCCCTTTGACATGTGCCATGGATGCGAAACAAGATTCCACCAGGCCTAGATGAGAAGTGGCGCAACCCCCCCCTCGGGTTCTAGACGCGGTTCGGAACCAGCCAATCCTTCGGTTGCAGAGAGGTTTGTGGAGCTCTTTTTGCTGGGTTTAGTGGCCGGTAAACGTTAAACTGCTAGCAGGGGATTCCATGGACTTGCTTTTGAAGAGGGAGCGTTTTGGAGCTACCAGGAGTTCCGCAAGAACATGTGCCATGGATGAGAAGCCAACGGAAAGCAAAATTGGTATGGCTCGTCACAGTAGCGATTTGGACAAGAAGAAGAAGTGGTGTTTCAATACCAACGTGAAAAGGGTACACGCAAAAAACACACACAGTCAAATGAGTGTGTGTGTGTGTCTTTTATCTTTTGTTTGAAAGGTTCGGAGTTGAGCTGAACTGTTTCGTCTCTCTGTGTGTGTCTTGCAATCAAGGCTCGATAAACATGTGTTTTGCTCGCCGCTATGAAGTTGGTGTCCTTGCGGGTGATTTTGTAGGTGGATGTGGCTAAAAGAGCACTTGTTCGAGTGGGTTACATGGAGGTGGTACGGACCCCAAGTTGGATCACTTTTCCAGTCGGTCCCAATGACCCCAGCGACATTTGTGTGTCTTTGTTTTTGAGGCTCGGTACCCTTTGCAGGTTAGTTGCAAGGGAATGCAACGGATGCCAGCATTTGGGGTTGCTTTTTGTTTTTACACATACCCAAATGGTGGGCGAGCGTCAACCTTTTGGCGAATGGAAGGGAACCTGCAAAGCAGACTGAGGGAGTTCTAATAAACGGGTTTCCATCGCTTGCGCAAGGGAACCATCATGCGTTTTCGCATCCGAGAAGCCATTTGTTGTCGAACCCATTCAACGGGTCACCCAACATAGGCAAGGTTTCATTTGTTCGAATTCATGCCATTTCAATTGGGTGCAGGCTTTGCCTATTTTTGCCTTCCGACCCGCCATTGAAAATCCTTCTTAAAACCCGCTGAGGATTCCTTGAGGGGCTTGCTCCCTCAAAGCCATGATCAAGAAAGGCGAGCAACATGGGTTTGTCCTTCTGGCGAGTGATTCCACCGATCCGGCGGTAAAACACGCTCACCATGATGTAGGTCCTATACTCGCAGGAGAATGAACAATCCAGAAGCATGTCCAAGCAAAAAGCATTGGAACCAAAGGAATGTGAGAGAGGGAGAAGAGATTAGGAATTATTAGCTATGGAGAGGTGTCCAAGTGATAAGATGTCTGACTTTATGTTGTCATCCCAATCTTCGAAGTTTTTCATGTCTTAGCTTTGGACTTGTACAGACTTATCCCTGGGGGTCTTAGAACATATGATTTGTTTTTAGGTGGCCAAGACAATTACTCCACAAATGATCATGGAACCCGAAAATGGAGTCCCCCAAAATGAGATTCCTCATGGTGTGGGGGTGCCATGGTTTAATTTGTGGGGGAGTGTTCTAAGCATGAGCAAGGACCCTCCATTGACGGCGGGAAAGGGACTTTGATTGGAAGGTTGTGGACCTCAAAAGTCCAAGGGATTGGAAATCTGACTTTGGTCATGGAGACCCCATTCTTTTGGGTAATGACCCCATTTTCAGCATAAAGAGGCCGGGTCTTTCCTGAGGCCAACACTTCACACTTTGGTCCGTCATTTTGCAGGCCCCAAAGGTGGAAACTGTTTGCTAGTTAACTTTTGACTCAGGTCTGAGGTAGATGCTTATCCTACTGTGGATGGTTGCGAAATTAATCTCGATTACCGTTCAGAAACCCTGGAATGACCTGATTCCCTGTTCTCACCAACAAACAATGTTTGCTCATGGTTTCACAGTGATGCGAAACGGATTTCGCAACCATCCACAGTAGTTTCCCTTTGGCGCATCTTGCTTCGATGTTAGGACTTTAACTTCTTGGCCAACTAATGGGCTTTCCGCATTAAACCACCAAAAAGTTAACAACTTTTAGCGGAGCAGATTTCGCAACCGAGGAGGGGTGTTGGTTGAAAGGGAGGCCGCAAGGAAATCCACCACAGGAAGGAAATGTTCCCAGTGCTTCTGAGCCATTTGCCTTTTGGGAACAATCCATTTTGCTGTCATGTTTTCCGAACATCGCCCCAAGGAATTGGAACTCCTACAACCAGCTGATGGAGAGGCAGAATTCGGGGGGCCTGACCACCGGCGAGCAGATTTGGTGGGGCGCCGCGCCCAAAACCTCACGGCGCGTGTTTGGTCCTGTCTGAGGGCCAACTTGCATACCCCAAATGGACATACTAACCAAAAGTAGTGGCTGTCCATGGGTTGTACAGGGTGAATAAAACATCCCTACAAAAGGCCTTTAGGTTTGGTTGGGGTAGGTAAGTTGGCCCTTAGATCTGAGCCCATTTAGTGGCCAGTGTAGAAAGTCATCTTTTTGGTATTTTTCGCGTGTGGCCGTCCCATGACCATTTGATCAACCCCCACCTGGGTGAACTGGGGCTGTACCATCTTTCCAACAATCATGGAAGTTGACGTTTTGGGGCTTCCCCAAAAGCAGAGTGGAGGGAGGATATAATAAGATAAACAATAGCGGCTACAAAGGCAAGACTAAAGCAGGAACAAAGCTGCAGTAAAGCAGAGCTCTTTTCGAACATGTTAGTAGAACCAACAGTCCATGGGTTTTGACGCTCATTGTCTAGTGGATTTAATTGTAGGAGTGGTTTCCCTTGGTGACTAAAAAGAACATGTGAAATTAAGGGGGCCCTGATGACTTTCATTAGCGGGGGGGGGGGATAGCTGTATTGGGGGGGGGGGGGGTCATTTTTTAGTTGGTAGGTTGTTTTAAGAGGACATCAAAGAAGACACAGAAACACACATTTTGTGGTGGCCAAATTTTGAGACAAACCCAGGTAAATACAGGTTAGTAAGGGACAGCTCCAATCATAAATGGTGCGGATATCCGCCGTTCTAATTCTTGGCTTTGGCTTATGCGGACTCCTTTCGCACAGAGTTGAACAACGTACGGTAGGGCCAAAATAAAACACACGTTATTCTCTTATAGTATCCAGAGCCATTCTATTCGGCCCGTACAATATAGGGGATTCTGGTAGGGCCAAAAGTGTTTTACACCTGGAGTTCAGCTGGGAGCGGAGTCTACGACTTCTTTTTTTTTGGTGGCCTGATTTCGGCCAAAGGTTCAGGAAACCAACAGGGGGAGGTTTACTTGCAGTTGCTGAAATGAATAGGTTTCTTCTCCCCTGTTGGCTTTTAAGGGAATCTATCACTACTGGAAATGTGTTCTCATTTTTTCCAGGGGATGTATCCGCCAAAGGAAGGGGAGGCTTACCCTGGTGAATGCAGACTGAATTCGTTCGCGCGCACTCCAAAAACAAGCTCACCCATAGTGGCCATAGTGACCGGGACATTCGGTGCCCCTTTATCAACTTTTTCCTCATGGGCCCTATCTCAACTACCAACTTGGCGGTTCCCCGCGGTCCCCGTACGTCGTTAGGTTTTTAGGGTTTAGTGGGGTTTCCAAGAAAACCACCAAAAGTCATTCACTTTTGTTTAGGGGATCAGAACGCAGACAGCCCAGAAGAGTGGCCTTGCCAGTGGCCTTGCTGGGGCTTTGGGCTGACTGGGAGCGATAGGGATGCTTCTCTCCGGTGATTTTCTTTGGGCTGTTGGTGATGCCCCGAACCTGCGGAATCAAGAGGGAACTCCGGATCTATTTTGACATCATCTTTTGACTTCGCCCTTTTGTGAAGCCTTTGCTACGGTTCAGCCCAAAAGAGAGCAAGCGTCCCTGTATCCCTATCCCAGTCAGACGCCACTTTTCTGGGCGGTCCGTTTTCGGATCCCCTGCTAACACCTGGCATGTCACTCGTCTTGAGACGTTTCACGTTCCAGAAAGGCCAACCAAGGGACCCACGGGGCGATTTTGCGGACGCGTTTGCTCTGGCCCCGGCCCACATTTGGGCGCGTCTTGGGTAGGTGGTACCGCTTCAGTTTGGGGTCCGGCCTGGTTCCAGTGCCTGGCTTCATGGGGCATTTTGGTAAGGACCTCTACAAAAATTGTCAGTCAAGAGGTTGGAATCAAAAGCCGAAATTCTGATTTTGGGCGAAGTGAAATTCCCACGAGGGCTTCAGTGTGACTCCAATTTGACTTTCTGCGGTGAACCCCACACCTGAGGCTACAACTGGTTCGTGCGGCGGCTCGCAGAGGCTCGGGAGAGGTCAAGAGCCAGGGATTTGGTTCACATTCATTCGACGTGGTGAAGCGGTTTCGACATGTTCAGAAATGGGTATGTCTCGCAGTTCTTGTGTTTTTCTTTTTCGTTTGTTTTTTTCACCCTAACGGGGCCCCCACAATTGGTGGTTGTCCTTTTGGCTTCTTTTCAAAGCCACAAGAAGGGGTAGCCTCAAAAGTCACACCCAAATGTTGGGAGATGTTTGAAGTGTTTGCATTCCGTTTTGCCGAAGAGCCACATTCGCTCTTTGCAACAAGTGCTCCTTTTTGGAGGACCCACCAAGTTGCCACCAATAAATGGAGTGTACTCACCCAAATTCCGAGTCATTGGCGCCCGCAACAAATGGCTCATATCCGGACAGACGCTTGGGGAACCTAAAATCTTGGGGATCGCTTTGACTCCGGAGCCATCATAGGTGTTCGAGCATTCGATGAATTTGAACGCGTAGGTGCCTTTTTGATCGGTTGGTTTGTTTGACAATGGACGGGTTCCATTGGCGTCCCGTTGGTTCTAACAATTTACCAGTGCCGTTTGTTTGTAAAGGACACCTATGATTGAAAGTGACTGCTTCCTGGCTCTTTGGTTCAACCTGTTCCCATTTGCTTTTGAAGACGAAGGTTTCCGCACGGCATGGGACGTGGGGAAACTTGGGTGTGTCTTTTATTTAGCGAACCCCCGCCCCCAGAAAAATGAGTGCTGGTGTCCCTTTAAAACCGTACTAACAAGGTGTACCCCCCCAAAGAAGAAGCCCATTTGCGGCTTCAAAGAGCTGCCGGCCTCAGACCGGGCCAGGAGTCGGCGGAAATGGAGGAGAAGGAACTTGACCAGTACCTGGCAGCTCGGATGTTCGGATGGCGCCGACCAACACAATCCACCAGTGTGGAGGTTGTGTGCACCAGGGTTCCACGGCACCAGGGTTCCACCAAACTTCCACCAGGTGCTACGAGGGCTGCGGGGTGGTCCGGGGTGGTTTGAGGTAAGGTTCCATGAGGGTTCCACCAGGGTTCCAGGGCCCCGGGGTTTCACCAAGGTTGGTTTGAAGGGAAGCCTTGCGGAAAGACGCAAACTTGGAATTCCCCCCAAAGCAGTGCCCAAAAACCCTCCCTCTCCCAACAATGTCCTTCCGAACCGCGGGTGGGTTCGGCTCCTACCTGATTATGGCGTTTATTGCAGGGGGCTGTAAAACTGGAACTCCCTGAGTTCCTGGACCTTTAGTCACTTTTTTGAGACTGGTTCTGGCTAATTTCCACTCGATCGGAAGTGGGAACACCTTGAAAGGCCATCCTGCCAAAAGTCACCGTTTCTTTTCTTAGGCGTTCTTTGGGCCTCGCCTCGCTCACGTGCCCTTTTTATTCCTTGGTTGAACTGGGGGCCCAAGCGCCGCCGCGGCGTAAGTGCGATGCGAGGATTACCTGCGCAAGTTCAACTCCAGCCAGATGCACGAGGACCGCGCGCTTCCGGCCGAACGGCCCTAGGAAGGCGCGAAAGCCTCAAGGAGAGCGATCCACGCTAAGAGGTTCCCGAAGGCCATCCGGTTCAATTTGAGCATTTTTTGTGGTTTTGTGGTTGGATTTCCATTTAACCCGCTAGAAGTTTAAGCTTTTGTGGGGGATCTGAGGACAGCCCAGGTTTGGAGAGGGTGAATCCTTGGGGCCCTACCGTTCGAAAGGATTCCTTCTTGAAGCAATTATGGAATCCCTAAGGGGGACAGGTACAAGTGGGTGGTTGAGAGCCCTAGGGCTCCTCAGGGTTTTCTAGGGTTCCCTAAATCCGTTAGGGAGCCTTAGGGGAACACCCAACGCCGAGTATTCCCGAAGCCACCACTTGGGCCAGCGGATTTTCCTGGCAGAAATATGGTGGCTCGCCATTTTGGAGGCTACTCCTTTTTGTTTTGGAGAAACACCAAAGGGACAACCCTTTCTTGTGGTTTTGAAGAACAATAGAAAGGACGACCACCGATTTGGAGGGGACCCCCCTAAAACAAATGACCCTCTTCTCGCGCGCCCTGTTGCCCGTGTCTCTTTTTGTGCGCAAAAAAAGCTGGGCGGTAGGAGCTGGCACGCGCCGGTCTCCCCCATGACGTCACCGCCCGGCAGCTGCAAGTCTACATCTGGCCTCCTGTCTATGTGCCTCGGAGAAAGGATCCCCTCGCTTCAAGAGTGGATCGGCCAGATGTCCACAAATCCACAAATTGTGTGTCTAGGTCCCCCAGTAGTGGGCTTTTACCCTTTTTTTGGGGGAGGGTTCCCCTACTAAAATAGACTACAGCAAAAAGGGTACCCTCATTCTAACCTTTCTACTGGAGGACCTAGGTGTGTACCCCCATCCAACAGGAACTCAGAAAGTTCCTCAATTTACTGAGAGAAACCCCATGTATCAGCTTTGCAGTGACTATAGTAGGAAACCAGGTGCATGTTTACCTCTAAAATAAATAATATTGGATGATAATGGGAAATGAATAGTAAGGAAAGGAATAGATCCCATTATCATCTATCATCTCTGGAACGCCTTCATTCGTTAATTGGCTTGTCTCTGAGATTAAGAGGTAGGACATGATGAAGAGAAAGAGATATGCTGTCCTTCCTGTCACCTATCCTCACTCTCCTTCCAAGCCTGCAGAGTGAGGATAGGTGGGTTGGTGAGGTGAGAGACGGAGGGAATGGGATGCTGTCAATGAATTTTCCATCATCTCCCTCCTATCTGTGTTCAAGGATTTATATTATAGACGACAAAAGGAATAATAAAGCCATGAAAGATAGAAAAGACAAGCATTATAATGATGATTCCCAATCCAATAAGACACCCACCAATCAATTCTTCTTTCTCACTCCTCAGATTCCCTCGTCCTCATCTGTCCCTGAAGAATTCATCCAATTGGTGACTAAGAGAGATTGATGATGAGGAAGGAATTATGATGAAAACCTAACCATAAGAACCCGGAAGAACCTGTGTATCCCTTCATCAGTCTAAGATAAGAAGATTCAGGAAATTATTAGCTGATAAATGCTTTCTTCAAGATTAGGTGAGTTGGTTAGTTGGTTTTCATGTTGGGATTTCTCATATGCTAGTCCTCAATTGGATGGTTTCCTTCATTCCATCTCTCACCTCAGAGAATTTGGAGTTGAGGATAGAGAATTGGCTAAAACCTGTCTATCATTACCTTGTGTTATCTCCCTTCATCAGGTTCTGAAACTAATTGGCTTTATGGTTGGATTTTTATTATAAACTGCATTTATTATTAACATCTTGAAAATAATGGTTTGTTGATGAAGTTATGAAAGTAAAAGAAACATTATGACATAATAAATACAAAAATAAGATAATAAGAAAGGCAAAGGAAAGCACTTCATCAAGATCTAGAATCATATTAGCTTTCCTTCTCTCTTTTGTTTGGATCATTTTGCTATGTTAATATGTTTATAAAAATGAAAGGATAATGTGAAAGAAATAGAAAAAGACAAAAGAAAACAACAAACATAAAATAGATGAATTTGGAGAAGATAGAAATATGAAAAAGACAAGTGAATTCTATTATAAACAAAATAACCAAATAAAAAGACAACGATAATGAATTCTGGATCTCTTTCTTCTTGGTCATAATTCATATCTTCAGGAACTAATATTAAATGCTAAGAAGATTTCTATTGTTTATTGTTTTTCTTTCTTTTTTAATTGTATGTTCATGGATTTTACAATTTGCAGCATTTAGAATTGGAAAGAAGTGGAAATAGATGAATGATATTTATTTTGTTTGCTTTTATTGTGTCTTTCCTTTCTTATCATCTCCTTTTCATTTGTTGAGATTAGTTAATTTATTTCTCTTTATTACTTGCCTCATCTATAAATCTCCAGAAACAAGAAAGAGAAGGAACGTCCTTACAGAAAAGCTATTTCATTATTAAGAAAAAGACTAGCAAACAATATTAGCATGATTATGATGGAAATATTTGTAAAGGAGATGAATGAAGATGTATCCCTTGACCGTTTCCTGTTGGCGTATCTCTTAGGCTAGTTTGGTTGCTTCTGGTCTTTTCACTCGTCATCCGTTCAATTCCCAGTCCTTTCTGTAATAACGTTTGGTTACTTGTTCATTATCTTTTCTTCTTATCAATTTCATATTTGCTTGTATTATTTGTAAGCTAATTTATTATAGAATTTATGATTGGTTAGTTATTTTTATATTTCTTCTTTATGATATTTTGCAAAATCTTAGAATGAAGGGTTTCATCTCTTTCTCTTCTCCATGACGGTTGCTGGGTAAGGGTTGATGCCCCAATGGCTTTCCTCACTCTCACTCCAGGAGTTCCGTTTCGTCACTTTGGTCGGTCACTTTTGGGCTTGGATCAGGTTGTAAACAAACAAATCGGACTTTTTCTGGCCAATCTACTCAAGAAAAGTCTGCCCCATTCTCTTCACACATCGTTCTCTTGAACAACCAATTATCCTAAATGGGGTTTGGCCCATCTGTTGAGGAGAAGGATGATGAGAATGGGGAAGCTCCAAGTTTGGCCGAGAGCCTTTTGGCCGACTTTGATTCTGAAGGGCAAGACACCGTTGAACTTCTATCTCGAGGGACGTTCAATGCTTGGGCAAGAATGGCTGAATTCTTCTCTTTCTGGGGAACTGTGGTACTTGTGCAGGGCTCCTTAAAAGATACATCTTGCCCCATTTGAAACATGGCGTTTTCCACCAAAATACAGGGAAACCACAATTTCCAAGGCAATGTTCAGGCGTATAATGTAAGGATCCCTGTTGTGTGGCCCACTTTGGGGGCAAACCGCAAAGTTGAATCACTTCTAGATGTTCGCCAGACTCAGCCGAGCTGACCCAGCTAAATAGGTTTTTCTTTTCTGTTATCCTTTTTCGGCTTGGTTTCAAAAGGGAAACTCGTGGACACCAACCGTTTTTGGGCGTCCACGAAAGAACGGCATGGCCACATGGAACTCTTCGCCTAACTTGTTTGTCCGACTTAAAGTTGGGACTGATGCCCTGAAATGTCCTTTTGTTTCGTAGGTGCCCACTAAAGAACCAAAATAGATAGTAACACATGTGGTGGTTTATTCATTTAGTTATGATTGTGTTATGAATTGATTTATTTATGAACTTATTCATTCATGTTGTTTATTTTGTCTATGTTTATTTTATTGAAACCCAGTTGGTGTTTATAACATGTTAAAACCCCAATTAATTGCTTTTGCAACCACAGGGGTCACTGCTTGCGTCACTCAGCTTCGGATGAACCGACTGCTTAGGCCTACAGCCCGGTGGCTCGACATCAGTTCTTCTACTGGAACGACGTGTGCATCGTCAACGGTGGCCTGGCAAAAGCTTCCTTAGTTTCCGGAGCACGGTGGAAATGCTAACTTTGGGTTGATCCGGAAGGCCTAATTTAATCTTGGTGGCTTCCAGCCATCCCCTTAGCTTTTTAGACTTTTAGTGTTTAGTGGGGGTTTCCATTTGACCCTTAAAAGTTAAACTTTTAGCAGGGGATCTCAGGGCAGCCCAGCAATGATCAGGAGTGGTTTCCCTTTCGATAATTGCATTATCCAGGGTTTCCTGTGACCCAGCAGTGTCCCCCGGATGAATTAAGAGTTCACATTGGGATTTTGGGGCGCTTGCTTGTTATACCAAGGGAATTGGACTTGGTGTCTTGGGAACATAATTGCAAGCAAAAGGTCGGGCTGGACACTCGGGAAGTCAGTTAAGGCGAAACTGTCAACCCAGGTTTGATTTATCCCTGCTTTATGTCAACTTGGGGTGTCTCAATTCAAAAGGGCATCCATGTCGCTTTTGTGGGGCAACACCACCCTTTTTGTCCGCCATATTCATCAATCCAAGTTGATATTACGTTGTGAGCAGAAACGAAACAAAGGTCCTGACGCAGGGCTTTGGCTGTCGACGCCCCTTAGAGCGCGGCAATGCAACCACTGGCTGCATGAATGACAGAGACGGACTTAGGGCGCGTCTTGCATGTTGCTGGTGACGTGAAGCCTTTGATACTTATACTAAAAACTCATGCTTTTCGGGTGTGTCTTGTGGTTGCCCCCCCAAAATGGCGGTTTTGATGTTGGTTTCCCTTTAAGACCACCAACACAGGGGTACCGAAAAAAGAAAAGAACAAATACCCATACACATCAGCAGAGACACTCATTCAACGGGTGCCTTTTCGATGGTCCGCCAGCGTCCGGAAGTAAGGGATGTCAAGCACTGGACAAATATTGCATGACACGTCCATCGGGATGGCTTTCTTCTGGTTTCGTGCGAAGATCACGTGTTCCAATGCTGCTTTCAAAAAGTGGCTGTTGCGTTTCCCTTGACTCACCTCCTGAGTTCCAGGACTGTACACTTTCTGGGAAGACCATAGTGGCAAAACCAGTTGCGAGTTACGTTTTTGGCCCATCCACTCAGGAAGTGAGTTAAACAGAGTCCAGTGTAGACAGTTTTAGTTCTGGAAAAGCATCCGCTTCAAGTTAGGCGCCACTGTTTGCTGTGAGGCTTCACGAGTGCGGCCAACATTCAGTTGCTCAAAGCTGGACTGGTCAAAGGCAATCCATAGCCTGCGAAAGGAATTGGTCCTTTGTGGCTTTCCGCTGATAATCGGATTGTCTCACCGGTGAAAAGCCCGGCGAACGGGGATGTTGACCTTCGCTGGATTTTCAGGGATCTCAAGCCTTCAGAAGACCGGTTGCCCGCAAAAAGAAGTATGTTCACGACATATTGTTGGCATTCCAATATTCATGGGTACAAGGGTTGCCTACAGACGCACGATGCACAAGTATTCCAATGTGGAGGTTATCCCAAGACTAAGCTAAGGAACCTTAGGATCCCCTTAGGAACCTGCGTTCAAAAGCCCCCTTTCTCTTTTGGGTGTCTTGGGGTCACCCCCGAAGAGGGTACACACAAACAAACAAGCAGACAAACCAGACAGACAAACTGAAAAACTGACAAACTGACAAACTGACAAAATGACAAACCAGACAGACAAACACACAAACACACAACCAGACAGACAGACAGACAGACAGACAGACAGACAGACAGACAGACAGACAGACAGACAGACAGACAAACAAGCAAACAAACAAACAATCAAACAACCAACCAACCAAACAAACAAACAAACAAGCAAACTAAAACAATCAGACAGACAGACACACACACACACACACACCAAAGATGTCATCAAGTTGTTCGCCCGCCCCTAAAACGCGGCGCTTTTGTGACAGGCGACAACCTGGTCATCGCCCGGAGGACCTGCCCACGCTGGCGGGAGATCGAGACGGAGGTGAGTTCCTGTTGGTGCCGCTCGGCTGCCACTCGGGAGACGCGGAGCTCGCGCAACCAAAGCGTTTCGAAGGACACCTACAGGGGGCTGTGGCTCAAAAAACCGGTACCCAAAATGGAACCCTGGTAAGCGGAAACATGGACTAAAACCCGCGTAACCCCTCCTGTTTAATTTTGAGCCACACCCAGGGAATTCTACACTTAGTGGTTCCCAGCCATCCGGTTCCGGAATGGCTGTTAGATGTTTTTGGTGGCATAGGAACCTCTGTTGAAAATAAGAGACGCCAGCAAAAGGGTTTGTCTCAAAATAGGGCCAATAGGGGCACCCATTTTATGAGTGCCGTCCTTCTTTTTGTTTAACCAACCAAAATAGGGTTCCCTAAAGACAGAACCACACCCAAAGGCCTTTTGGCCAAATAGAACCCTCGGGCCTTTTGGAAACGAAATGCTGTTGCATTAAAGGTCTTGGAGCAACGCAGCACGTCCCCTGTCGTCCCTTCAGCCGATTTTCTCCTGCATGTGCAGAAAATGCCCCTTCAAAGGGACCACGTTCCTGAAACAAAGGAATCATGTGTCATTTGAAGGCACCGCTGTTTTGATGTTAAAGGTACACCAAAAGGATGCTCAAAAAAATCTCGCCGCACGACTTGGGCGTGTCTAAATTTTTGTTTGAGGGTGCCGTGGTTGGATGGTTTCGAAAGGAACCCGCAGGGAAAAACCAAAGTCTATTTTGGGGGCCCTAAAGAAGCCCAGTCGATCCCAGATACCCACATGGTATCATATAGTAGGTAGGCAGCCATTTTCCTTGGGGGTCGTTCTCTTGAAATGGATTCACAAGGAAACACACATTTTGGGTATGGGTTGGAGTTAAACCACCAGGAATTGGACCGCAGGTTTTAGTCCTTGTTTCCATGTACCGACCAGGCAGGGTTGCCCTAATTTCACCCACAAAGAATCTAAGATGGCTTCCAGCCACTATATCAAGGGTATATGCCCCCAATATCCCCTGGGCTTGTGGCTTGGTACTGGAAACCAACTGGCGGTTTAGAGTGGTGCTGTGGTTAAGGAGGGCTTGCCCAGAAGAACCAGAAGAACCAAGTCCAAATCCACATCCAATCCACTCATTCAAAGCACCAACTAGGGTAACCTGAAACGACACGTTACATTTCCTTACCCCCCCTGGACCCGGTAGGGATTCCCCCCTATTTTTGACAACCACACCCAAAGATGGCTTCCACTACCCAAGCCACTACCCCCCAAGGGCAACACGGACACCCAACCAACAACCACTGTATAACCATCCGCTCGACCATTTCTTGGTTTCCCTTCAAATACCATCTTTGGACTTTCATATAACCACTATATAGTCAAATTCCAACAACTTTGGGGTTACCAAATCTATGTTTGGCGGCCACACCGGTGCATTTTGCTTGGATGTTAGGACTTCAGCTTTTTGCCAACAAATGGGTGTTCCATTAAACCACGAGAAGTTAAACTTTTAGCAGGGGAGCAGAAAGCAACCGAGCAACCCCATATGGCCATGGGTCATAACCTATGCCTCCAATTTGGGGCGGATGAACACCCATGTACCACCTATTTTGATGTTCACCAGGGGTACCAAGGGTTTCGACCCACACCCATATAACCAGTGCCACTTTTGTAAAGGCTATGGGATACACCCATGACCATAGGTGTCCTTTTTAGGTTAGTGTTAAAACATAAAAAGGCACTGGCTTAGATGGGTTTTATGCCCCACATACCAGGGAATCCCATCTATTTTTCCAAAAGGACACCTATGCCTGTGGGTATCAGAATAACTTCCCCAGAGTTGGCTCCCCTTTTTGTTTTTTTTTGGCCGTTTTGGGGGTCCCGCGAACCAGGCAAACCTATGCCCATGACCAAAAAATTCGTCCCGGCCGAGGCAGGAAGGAGAGCTTCGACGCGGGGGCATGCGCCGAGTGGCTCTGCGAGGAGCGCGACGTGGGCCTCTTCAGCGCGCCTCAAACGGCCGAGACGGCGGGCGGCGGACAAAAGGTTTGGCTTTTTGGTCTTGGTTTGGTGCTGCCCCCTACTGCCCGCAGAACTGCTGGGAGGTGGTCGCCGTGCAGAAAGTCATCAACCAGACCTGCCACAGGGACCAAAACCAGGTCCCCGAGCTAGGCGCCCTTTCTCACCCCTTTTTTGGTTGGGAGGGTGGCCCTACTAAAATAGACTTCGGAACAAAGGGTACCCTTTTTCTATCCTCTCTACTGGACCTAGTATTGGTTTGGTTTGTTTCGTTTGGTTTGGCTTGGTTTGGTTGGTTTGCTTGTTTTGTCTTGCGTGTTTGTCTTGCTTGGCTGGGATGACCAGGACTCGAGGGCAAAAGCTGAGATAATTTTGGGCTTGTTTGCTGGGCATATGCCGAAGGGTTTGCTGAACCAGAGGTGCGAAATTGCCATGGCCGCAATATTTGCCATACTTACCACACTTGGCCCTTATTTGCCACGCTGGCCACGGAAATACCATGTTTGCTGAATTGGCCTTGTGTTTGACCTACTTGCAACATGTTGGATTTCTACATGGGTTTTTTCCCCAACAGCTGGAAGCAATGAGGTCTCTGCCCAGATAGGCTCGTTCGGGGTGGATTGGGGCAGCTTTCAGGAGGGTTCTGGAGGCTTCTGGAGGGTTTTGGGGGGGTCTAGGGCAGTTGGGGATACCACCTGGGCTGATTTGCCACTGCTGCCATATGTAAATTGTCGCTTCCCGGCCATGCCGTTCGACGTGAACAATACAAACTCTTAAGGGATCAACAAAACACAAAGTTACGGATGCCTGCACGTTTGCAAGCAAGGGAACAAGGAGTCTCATTGATTTTACCCTAAACTTGGCCGGGTTTTGTGGTTGAGTACGGTCTCTAGTTGCATGTCCCAGGCGTAGGTGGTGACCGGTTCAAATGGGTTCTAGCAAATGGGTTCCTTTCAGATGCAACCAAAACACATGAGTGTCCTTTGGTGCAAGCCAGGGAGGGGTTTGTTTGGGGCCCTTATGTTCAGTGTTTTTGGGGTATATCAAATCAACAACTGGTGCTTCCCCTCAACCCATCACTTAAAAGAGTGACTTTGACAATGGTAAAATACTGGGGCCAATTGGGTTTGTTTCTTTGGAGAGGGCACTCTTTTTCGGTTCGCTGAACGGGAAAAAGGCGGAACCAACTACCATTTTGGGGGTCCGATTCCAATAAGACAGATCCCAAAAGGGTTCATTCCCTATCGCACCAGCAAGTTGATGGACACCTGTCGCAAACCCCACAGCTGTTTGGTACCAGTGTTATAAAGGTTTACGAGGCCTTAATTTAACTACAACAACATCCAACTGGTGGTTTCCTTTAAGCAGATCTTCAGCTACATTCCCTCATCCCTACCTATCGCACTCAAGTTTATATATATATATATGTATATATGGGTGTGGCTCAAAATGAAACAGGAGGGGCAAACCGCAGGTGTTGGTCCATGTTTCCACTTCCCAAGGGTTCCATTTTGGTACCGGTTTTTTGAGCCACAGCCATATATATATATATATATTATCAAAATACCCTACGGGTTGATTCCCCATTCTCTTAGTTTATTCTCTGTAGAAGCCGCCTTTGTTCCCAGATTGGGCCATGTTTTGAGAATGATCCTCGAAAAGAACCGGGGGAAGCGGCTAGCCGAAAAGGAACTGGTTCTCTGGCAGCGGTTTGCTTTTGCATCCGTGGCTCCCCTTCAACCGACCAAAAGAGCTCCATTCTGAGAAGCTCCCTCCTTTGCTCCGTCCATTTTTTCCCAGATTGGGCCATGAATCAATGAAACCGCCGATTCTTCCCAAGATCGGGACCATTTTGAAAGATACATATTTTTCTTTCTGTCGCTCCACTCAAGGTGCTCCATTCAACCGACCAAAAGAGCTCCTTTTTGAGACCCCTCATATTTCCATCCCAAAGGATCTTAAGCAGATTGATGGCCCACCCTCATATGTTTTTGGTGGGCCAAGTTTTGATTAGGTGCTCTTCCGGACCAAGCAGTCCATCGACCAATGGACCGTCGGCGTGGAGTTCGAGAGTTACCAATGCCCGGGACCCCAGCGACCCAGGACTCGGTATGACGACGCGGAAAATGGTTGAATAGCCACCGTTTTTTGGGGTAGGCATCCATTGTGTAAGGATATGTGGTTGGGTCCAGGTCCTTGTTTTGCTGTTAACCAGGGATTGGAGGGTTTTTTGTTGTTGTGTTGTGTTGCTTTGGTCCTAATTTGTTATTTTTCTTGCTTTTTGGGGATGGATTTCTTTTATCGCTCTTGTCCGCTGGACACTGTGTTCGTCGTTGCTTTGGTTGGATGAGTGTTTTGTTCTTTCCCCGGCGGAGCCCGCCATGACTTGTGCTGTTTTTGGCTTGATGGATTGCCTTTGTCTGTTGATTCCTCCCTTGGGTGTGTTTTGCGTTTTGGTTGATAGGTGTTGATGTGTATAAAGGAGCAGCAAATCAATCTCGAGATTGTGTCATGCTGCTTTGGGTTTGGACGGGTATTTGTTCTTGTCTCCTGCGCAGTGTTCGTGGCTTTTGGTTTGATGACGGTTCCCGTGAATGCTTCTTATTTTGCTTGGTTTTTGTTGTCTCCTTTCTCCTGTCAGGTTGTCGTTGGTTTTTTTCATCGGCGTGTGCGTGTGCTGAGGGTAATCTCAAGGTTTCCTCCGTTTCCCCTCCAAAAGCGGCAGTTTCAACGGAAGCCACCAGTAAATAAATTGCAACTTATGAAGGGGAAATCCAGTGACCCCTGACCCTGAAAAGGTTGGTTTAAAGCACAACTACTCAGATTGGTGGTTGTTCTCTTGCTGTGTATAGGACGGTAGGTGGATTTCTCGGCTTGTCAGAGGGCTGAAAACATTGCGACCCACTTAGGGATTTTGAGAATGAGCAGGGCCCAAGGAAAGTCAATCACATGCTCAATTGGTCAGAAATTTTACGTTGACCCCTGATTCATAAACCCTCCACTTCTTATTCAGTGGGAGGGGGTTCTTTTTCAGCGGGGATTCCTTTCTTCCACGGAACGTCCGCTGATTAATACCTGGGGGCCCGGGGGGTTTATTCCTCAGGGGCCAACATTCCTTCGGCTTACGAAAAAGGCATGGACTTCAAACGAACATGGTTCATGACAAGACTCACCAGATGTTCAGCCGCTCTCCAGCTGTCTGGCAACTGGTTTCCATGACTCTCTCTCTCTCTCTCGGATGCAGAGCGACTCCGTGCGACGCTTTGAGAAATGGCAGGGGCATGGACTCCCGGGTTCCGTAGGACAGTCAAGCTTCAGGATCATATGACATTCACGGCCATATGGGTTCTGATTCATGTTTAACCAGGGAAACCCATTTTGTTTTCCACCAGGACACCTATGGTTCAACCCTAGGGCCGATGGCTGTGGATCAGAGCCCGTGGTACCATTTTGGGGTGGATGCACCACTAATTTTAGTCTATGTTAGTTGGCATTGGGATGTTCACTGGTGGATAACCAGGGTTTTGATCCATGGCCATATTACCAATTGAATATCGTCAGAGCTCCTTCCGGAACACTGTCGTTGGGATCTCAGCTTCCCAGCCATGAGACTTTGAGATCTTTTAGAAGGAGTATTGACATTCCATGGTTGTCGTTGGGAAACATTTTACATTTTTGCTTATTGTGGTCTAGTGGCAAATCCCCACATTCGTGGGGCGCTTCTCCAAGCGTCGGCCAGGCACCGGGTACACCATCAACGGGCACTGCCAGTCCTGGCAGGGACAGATCGAGTCCGTGGAGGAGGCGGCTTCGACTTCGAAGGAGACCTCCAAAGCTTCCTCTCACTTCCGGACTTAGTTCCGTTTCGGACTAAAGCGTCATTTGGGTTCGGAGCAATGTGGCAAAGAAAAAGTTTGGGGACTTTTCGGCGAATCTACTCAGGAAGTGAGCTCTTTAAATGTGTTTTCCTGATTTTCACCGAGCAAATTACATCGTGACCTTACTCTAGGTCTGGTTTGGAACCTCATTTTAGGTTTAATGCAAACGATTGGTTCCCCCAAGCAGTTTTTGAAACTCCCTGAAGGGTGATGTTTGAGACACCCAGTGAGCAGTTTCCCGAAACGGAAGGACCGAAACCCGTGAGAAAGGAGCGAACCCCTTTGGGACAGGTGAACCTGTGCGCAACTGCTTCTGACCGGTGTGGGTTGGAGATCCTCTTTGGGTTGGAGACCTTTTCCCTGGCCAGTGAGAAGCGAAGTTGATGTTCAAGAATTCAAAAAACCCAAACCTCGGCGTTGGGGCATGACCCAAACATCGTGCCCCCCGCAGCCGACCTTTGCGCACTGAATTCCTTGTCAGTTTCCTGTGAAATGATCCAACTGTGTTCCCAGCTCTCGGTGTTGAAGCATAGGTTGGGTCTTCTTTGCCAGTTCTCGACTCACCTCCTTGGGAAGATCATGTAAGTCAACAAGAAGTTCGACCACTTGTTTGAACAGCCAATCCACGGAAGTGAGACACCTTGGCGGTTCCCAGGTTGCCTTAAGTTAAGTTTTCGTGATCAAGTTTCCATTCAACCCGCTAAAGATTCAGCTGGCCTCCGAAAACGGACAACCAGACGTTGCCTCAAGCCAGGTGGAGTGGAGCAGGTGCACCTGCCCTCCACAGGGCTGCCAGGCGGATGGGGAGGATGTGATGCGCCAGTGAAAAGCCAACGCGGGACACATGGCGCGTCTTTTTTGGGAGGCGACCGATTTTTTCGGTGGTCTGACAGTTGGAAACCAACAGGACTCCCACCAACATAGGGGATCCCTAAAGAAAGACACACCAGGTGTCAAAATTAAGGGTTGGTTTTCCTTTAGCTTCTTGCACAATGACCCAACAAGGGGGTACCCAAAAGACAACCCCCTGGATCAACCGATTTTTTGGTTGACTTTTAGTTTCGCCAGGGTTTTATGACTCGTGTGCCGCCGGCAAGGCATCTCCACACCTTCAAAAAGTGACGAAAGGGTCAGTGGCGTCGTTTGGTACTGTGGATGGTTGCGAAATCCATTTCGCACCACCTAAGAAACCCAGGAAGGATGATTCTTCCCCTGGAAAATGCCAAACAATGCTTTCCCATGGTTTCAAAGCGGTGCGAAATGGAGTTCGTCCATCCACAGTATTTCAAACCAGACTGCTGATGTTGTCGGACGTTGCTGGATTTGGCTGTAGCCAATCGCAGGCTTGTCGAGGCATTTTGCGAGGATTCCTTTTGCGATCAATGAGATAAGTCCGAAGCTCGGACGGAGCTAACATTGCATTTCACCCGTTGGGTGGTTCAACAGGTGGTTGCCCTTGGAGGCTGGCAACCTGATGCTGTTTTATTGTCGTCGTTGTTTCCTTCGCAGCTGTCATTTTGCTTTTCAATTTAGAATTGAGTTCCTTTAGGGTGACGTGTAAAGGTGCATGAACGGGTCTCAAGCTGAACGAAGGCTAGCCCTAGGCCGAAAGCGGCTTTCAACTGGATTCAGACAACTTGGCCGAACAATGGCAGGCCAAAATCGACAGAAAACCTTGGGCGTAGCGGGAAACTTGGCTTCCCTGACTCGATTCATGTGAGTATGGGTCAAAGTTAAAGCACCAGAAAACCGCAGTAGTAGCTCATGTGTCCATTTACCAGGGTTCCATTTTGGGTACCTATTCTTAAAATTTGACAACCACACAAATGCGGCACCCATTTTGGAGGTTCCATTTTAGGCATTGGGATCAAGGGGTTGTCGGGTGAACCAAATTGCCTCATGGGAAAACCATGTTTGGAATCAACCAGAACCTTCTGTATGTCTTAACACAGAGCTCCTTAAAAGATACATTTTGCAACCATTTGAAACATGTTTTTTCCACCAGAATACAAGGAAGCCACCATTTCCAAGGCAATGTTCAGGTGTATAATGCATCCGGATCCCTGTCAACGATTTTCCATGAAGTCCCTAAAGGGAGCCGATTGGCTAATCACGCGTCCCGGCAAGTCCTTTACCCTCATGCGCAGGGAACTACTGATTGGCCAAGGGCGAGCATGTGGCTTTCAGTTTTTATGGGGACCATCCAGAACCCATGTCAATGTCCATGATGTCCACCAAAGGGTACCACTTATCCAAGAGCCCAAATAACCGCAGTGGGGTTTGCACAAATGCCCCTTAGGTCGGTAGTAACCTTGGCCAACCCATGGATATCTTTTTTGATGTTCATCGTTTACCAGGTTCCATTGCCTCCTGAAGTTCGGGGTGACTAATTTCTGTTGTTGGCATGTTTTAGGTCTTTGGGTTCTGGTCATTTTTAGTTGGGGCTGCACAGAACAGTCCGTTTTTTGCAAGCTCATACCGTTTGGGTTGTAAGTTGAGCGTAGCGCGTGTCTCGGTACACTGCCCAATGAGACCAGCATGCGCACCGCCAGAATGACGGAGCGGTGTGGCTCTGCGACGAGTGGGAATTGCCCAAGCGCCTTGGCGCTTGAGAAGCTAGTGGTTGCCGATTTCTTAGTCCCTGAGTTCCTGAACGTCAGAAAAGGATTCCTACCTGAGCTCATCTACCCTGAAATAGCACATGACCCCAATTTTAGGGTGGGTTGCCATGTTTTCCTCACTCCTGCCTGATCCTGGGCATTGTGCTTTTTGCCCAGTGACTCCATTTACCTGTATAGTGGGTAACCAAAGGAACCACCAAAAAAAAACATGTTGGTGACCTACCATGGCTTGCCTGGGATCCACTGGGCTGGGCCTGGACCGCTGTAGGGTGCTTTTTGGCTCCGCTCGGGAAGCGAGACAAAGACTAGATCTGGGCGCTGGGTAGGGGGCTTCTTCGGGGACTGTTTGGAAAGGCGGCGGTCCTTAGGAAACGTATTGCGCGGGCCGGGGGGGGAGGGGAGGGTGGTGTCAAAAAATGAATTTGTGGGGGGGGGGCGGTTTCCTTACATAGATGAGTATGTCACTTGATCAGATGACATCACTCTTGCAAACAATCCCTTGAATCAAAGGGGGTCGAAGGACACACACACCACTTTCGCGGGCAGTTTCTCCATGAGGGATCCAACAAATAACTCTCCCTTTGAGTAGAGCAGCTTCAAGTGACAGCTTCCATTTGCTTAAGAATTTTTGATTTTGCCGTGTCGGGTTGACAGAAATGGAATCCGCTGCTGGAAATAGATGTTTGCTTCTTTTTCCCCCCTTTGGGCTCAAGCAAATGGAACTTTGGTGCATTTTGCCAAGGGATGTTAGGACTCTAGCTTTTTGCCAACTAAAGGGTTTTCTGTATTAAACCACGAGAAGTTATTCACTTTTAGCAGGGGAGCAGATTTCGCAACCAAGGGAAGACCGTGACCGGGTGATTTTGAGGATGTCACCCTCACCGCGTAGCCGCACTGAGGACTCGCGATCTCTTCTTTGAGAGCCACCTGGGAGGCGCGGTCGAAGCGAACAGAAGGGGAGTTGTCTCGAAAAAACGAACTTGGGGGATCCTGGAATCAGCCCGCCTGGGTGAAGCGAAAGGTCCGGGGCCCCGGACCTCCCAAAATCGGGAAGCTCCCTCGGGCCATTTCCCTTCCCTTGGGGAAACAGAACTCCAGGGGTTGATTCCTGTCCCATTCTTTTCAACCATCGCTCTTTTCAAAACCCGATCGCTGTTTTTTTCAGGGCTTTGGGTGGTTTTGTGGAAAGCATAAAGTAGGATCCCTCGAAAGTAGGATACCATTGGGTCCCTCGGTTCCCATGTTTACCTCGCTTCCGGTCCTTGGACCCAATCAGACAAATGACGATGTGCTTTTGGCAATTTGTCGTAAACGTTTTTGTTTTTTTTAATTTCAAGCGGGTTGTTTGGAGTTCCAGTCAGTTTCAACTGACACATTGGCCATGTTCTGCCGATGGTGCTTCTCCGCCGACCCCAGTGCCTTTTCCGTGTCTTTCAGCTTAAGGCCTCGAAAAGCTGAAGGAAACGGCAAAACAGGCACTGTGGTCAGCGGAGGAGAACAATCGGCAGGAGAAAATGGGGCAACATCGCCAATGCTTCTCGAGGCCTTTTCGGCTTCATCTTTGCAGAGATCTTCCTGTGCTGCTTCTTCGGGCGCTCGGCCGGGGACGACGAGGGGGACGCCTTGTTCGCCGCCACCTTCTGCTCTTGCCTGGGAGGCGGGGGTCTGAATGAGCCGATGGTGGACATAGTTGTGGATATATGTATATATATACACGTATATTGGTCCATTAACATATATATATACAGTATTATTCTTCAAGCCAGATTAGGCAGGACAACATAGCTTTTGTCCTCTCCGAAACCTACCCAACGGTTTCTTGGGGTACCCGTTTTTCTGTAGCTTCGAAAATGGAACTGAGGCTTCATGTGAACATCTCAACCCTCCCCCTCCCCCAAAAAACTCCCCCGCCAAGGGGATTTTGGACATACTCAAAACTAGCTTTTTGGACAGCCTTCAAAGCCTTCACCATTGGCCATCCCTAGTGTCTCCCATAACCCCTCCCCCATTGAAAACGAGACCCTGAGAGAGGCAACATTGGTAAGGGCACATGGATCCACCTAGGCCCTAGGGAAACCTTGAGTCAAAGTCATTTTCCGCTTGTTAGGGATTATGCAGTATACACCCTGTACATAAGTGGTATATGACCTTAGCTCCAAAATCCAACTCCCTGAACATGATCTTGGTGAGTCATGGACCCCTAAGAGGGGCTATGTGGAGGGGAGGCTATCCCTTACTAACCCCGTAATAAGGCCCTTTTTAGGGCTTCTCCTGGGCTTAGGATAGCCCCCCCCATAGCCCCACCTACGGGTACATGAGTGAGGGACCCCCCACGCCTTCCCCCCACACACTCCCCCCCACCCCTCCCCCCCAGCCCCACCCAAAAAACTCCTTTGGATCATCAGCGAGGCCTCTGCCTGATGCCTTTCCTAATCCTGACCTACGGCTTTTACGGCTTCCTCTTCGCCGGTCTGCCCTTCTGGCTGCTCCGCAGCCCGGACTCCGTACGCTTCTTTTTTTTGCGATGCGCAGATAGCCCCCCGCGAAAACCGGCTTTGGACAAACCCTTGCCTGATTTTTTAGGGGTAGCCTATTTGATATTCAGCAACAAAGGTCATTGGGTAGTTTTTTGTTTTGTTTCAATGCGTTGAACAACATGAAATGGCAGAAAGGCGAGACAGAACGCAAGTGTTATCAAAAGAGCCCTATGTTCCAGTTGGGTCTTTCCTCTTTCCAGGAAGCCATCCGTTGGATTTAAGGAGGCGAGGGAGCCAGAGATCCGATGCTCCTGCGGAACATATCCCCAAGAAAAGCCCGTCTAAAAGGAAGCCAAGAATGAACGACTTCCCCTGAGCACAATACTAGGTCCCCCCAGTAGTGCCCTTCTCTCCCCTTTTTTGGTTGGGAGGGTTCCCCTACAAAAATAAACTACAGAAGAAGAAAAGCAAACGGATGCCCTTATTCCATCTTGTTGCATGATGTCCAGGGTGGGGGATCTGCAAAAGTTGTTTTGGTGTGCCAAATGTCCCAAAGCCTGCACAGGCACAACTTATTCAGCCATTGTAGGCCTCTGCACTCGTTGAGGATGTGTCAGCCAGAGTCAAGTTTCCTCCGAAACGCACATCCAGCGTGATTGAAAAAGCGCTTTGCTGCATTCGGGCGCGCCTTGCAGTTGCAGGGAGGCTGCAGGCAAAGCTGGTGGAGCAGATGCCGAGACTGCACAGCGCGTAGTGAGCGGCAAAGCGCAAAACGAACCTGCGGGAGCGAGATGCAAGTTGATGGGCCAGCACACGAAGCCACGGCAAGTATAAGAGGGACGCGGAACCTGCCCTAGCAGAGAAGCGAAGCAACGCACTGAACCAAGGGGGGGCAAGCTACGCAACCTGCGAAGCCCATGTGTGCGGGGAGAAAAAAAAACTTCGAGCAAAAAGCACCAAATTTTGGTCGTTGCTCATCTATCATTTCCGGATTTGTCCGCCCTTTTCCGCTTGTTTCCGCCTTTGTTCCGCGTTTTTTCCGCCCTTGTTTGGCTCTCCAAGACGCACTCTACCCACGAAACTTCAAAAATCATGAAAAAGCATGTTTTTTCTCGAAAAGACCGAAAAAGGACACACAAACGGCTTCACAGGAATGAAGATATTCCAGAGCGAGAGCGCTCAAAGCATGAGCCGAGATCGAACATTCGAAGCTGTCGCTAGCGCACGTCATGATTCCCCCCCTCCCCCCGCCCCCTCAAACCACTCAAAAGACACGCAGTGATGACAGTTCCACGGCGGCGAGCCAGCCGCTCCCCTAAAAAACTATTCAACCTACGATCATTGCCTCACTCCCTGTTCAGTTTTTGGGCTTGGACAATTTTAGTTGTAGGCACAAGTTTGGACTTCACTCGGTCGGAAGTGAGGTTTTTAGGCGTTGATTCCCCATTCTCTTCACCAATCATTCCCTTTAGAAACCAATTTTCCTAAATGGGTGCGGGTCAAACACAGGTACCCCACATGGAGCGCTGGTAACTGGAGCCAAGGACTAAAACCCAGCGGTCCGATTGCTGGTGACTAATTTTGATCCATGGGTTGGCCTATTTGAAGAGAAGGCGAGCTTTTAGTTTCCCCTTTTTGTTCCATGCTTGGTCATGGTCCCAATTGGTGATCACTTTTTCTTTTAACGTGGGTCCTGAAGGGGCGACTGAGATTTTCCTCGGGGGTTGGCCAAACTTTGGTCAAACTTTGGTCAGGTTGCCATCCTCTCAGCTCAGAGGCCCCCGAATTCCGAATCGGGGGTCCCGCATCTTCCTCTCAAGTGTGGCCAAGCCTTTCGCATGAAGTAAGACGAGCCCGCAAGAAAAGCACGAGCTCACCCTTGAAAACAGGGAGGGTCATTTGGAGATCAACTTCTTACTTGGGTCTGATTGTTTTTTGCAGGGTAGGCCTTTTTTGGGCTTAGAGGGAAACCAAAAAGAAACCTATCATTTTCGGCCCCCCCTAAGAAAAGACGGACCCATTTCAGGATTTAGATTTTCCTTTCAAACATGCCTGCGCCAACCCGAGGCATCCTCTTCATGTGCTGCATCGTTGCCATGAACTTCAAGATGCCATCGCCAGCCGGCGTTTGTGGGGACACGCCAGAAAGGGCATGCCATGCCGGTTTTTTGTAGACGAAGCGGTATGTTTCCTCAAAGGGGCTTGGACCGCAGGTTTTAGTCCTCAATTGTGTTTACATGAACCGATCGCGCCACCCGTTTTGGGGTCATGCTATTTTTGACCACCACACCCAAGTGACTGTTTTTTTTTTTTCTTCGGATCTCTTACATCGGGAGTCGGGATGTCCAAAGGCTTATTCACAAGGGTGCTGACGCCTGACGTCACACGTTTGGTGTCGCTTCCTTGATCTTCAGCTGGACCAGGAGCTCTCCCATGTTGCCCCCACATCAATAAACCCCTACCAGCACCCCCCAACGATTTTTGGGCATGGGAAACAGCAGTGGTTGGGACCCGGGTGCGGGACATGGCCGGTAGAGGTATCACATTAGGCGAGTCTGCACTTTTTGTGTTTTTTATTCTTGGGGGGCGGAACACCGCCTATTAATCCACCAGGTTCATTGAGCCAGGGTCCACGTCCCAGCGAGAACTGTGGCCTCAGTACTTTTCTTGGTGCGGTAGGCAGGAATGAGGGAATGTCCCCTGTAAACCAGCCCCCGCATGGCTTTCCTTTAAGGGAGTCCGATCCCTTCCCGTTCATTCCCAACGGACTTGGTCATTTCCTAACCAGCGAGCTCTTGGGTTTCCTGTTGGCGACTCCTCTTTCGAACCAGGTATGGGTACTCACCTATGGACGTGGAACCCGAATTGACATGGAACCCAAATTCCCTCCGAGTTGTAGAGAAAAGCTCCTTTTGGGAAGCGGACCCCTCTTTGAGTAAACAAGGGAACCGTCCATTACAACTCAAGCAACCTGGGGGTAAGGTTTCCTCTAGAATACCCTCCCGCAAGAATGGAAGTGCTCAAGCCTTTCTTTGGACTACTTTCCATACGCACTTCCATGTTACTTAGTGGGGCGACTGAGTGGCCCACGTCACTGGGTGGGCAAATTGAACGCCTTGGCGCGCCAAAGGGCTTTCTGGAGTAATTATGTTCTGGTATGGCTCCCCAACAAAAAACTAAGAAGGGTTGGTTCCCTTTCTCTCCAGGGTCCCCGGGCTGGGTGTTGGAGTGTCCACGAACCACTGGGAGTTGGTTCCCTATATGTATATGGGGTGTGGCTCAACATTAAAGAGCTAGGGTTACGCATGCAGGTAATAGTCATTTGGTTCCATTTACCAAGGCGCCATGTTGGTACATGTTTGAGCCACGGCCGTATATGATATTGTTTTTCCAGTTGCTTCCCTTCCCCCCCCCCCCCGAAAAAGCAATATGCGGCGCTATCCCCAACAGCATGCGGTGCTCTTTTAAGTGCTCGCATCAGCCCGCAGCCCTCGCAAAACCTCGTGGAACCTTCGTGGGGCGCTGGTGGAACCCTGGTGGAACCCTCGTGGAACCTTACCTCAGGGCTGCCCCGGACCACCCCGGAGCCTATCTGGGCTGAGACCCGAAAGCGTTAAGGGAGAAAAGAACGGTACCCCGCAACCGGGTACAGACCCAAATGTAGGGAACGTTCTGCTCTGATGTGTTGGGTGGGGATGTCAAGCAGGCGTCCTTTTTGGGCTTATACTCGATTGATTGGCTTCAGTTTCCACACAATGCCTACAACCCACATCCATCATGGAATCAAATATTTGGGTATTGCCTACGTGGAGTGAGGCTTCCGGTTTGGTTCGAGGCATTCTGCCGAAAATGCAAAGTGACCGACTCCCGATTTGGATGTGACGCATCCGTAGAGACAAGGTGAAGCGAGAGGCATTTGAATCGACCGGATCCATTGGAATATGTTTTGGCCCAAGTTTCGGGTGAGCTTTTTGTTTCCAGGCGCTTCCAACGTCCCAACAGCCCAAGTTGCAGTAAAAGACTGTCTCAGAGTTTGAGGGCTTTTCGCTCCATGGTTCCAATCACCCTTTATACCTTTTGATCATACCCCTGTCCTGAAAATTGCTGTTCGTTTGGGGTGCGTATGCTCAAAGGTATGGAGGGTTCTTGGATTTAGAGATTAGAGGTGTCTATTTTCAGGGAATCCACGAACCACTTTTTGCCAAACTGGAAGTCCCACAGAAAAAGGTGGTGTGGTTTTGCCTGGGCTTCCCTTGCCAGGTGTACCAAGCCTCGAAAAACAGCCCCCGACTTTTGAGGATCAGAGCCTGGAAGAAGGGAAAGGGGGGGGGGGCTTTGGCTTCCTCCGTCCACCAAACCACCAGGCGGAAAATTGGGAATGGGGTATACCCATTCTACATATATATATATATATATATGCATGTACGAAGACAATATCACATAATATCATATGAGATAGTATAATATCATTTAATAATATAGTATAATACAGTTATATAATAGTAAAAATAATAGTAATAGTAATCGTAATAATAAGAATAATAATAACAACAATACGAATAATAATATCTAATAGATAATAAATGATAAACAATGAATAATAAACACTAGTAAATAATGATAACTAATAATAATTGTCATAGTAATAATAGTAATAATAGTAGTAATAGGAACAAGAGTAAGGATGCTACTGATAGCAATAATTATAAACATAACAATAATAAATAACATATGACTATATATATATATATATATATATTTATGGTACCCCCCCCCCCCCCAGTACCCAGGTGTTGTTGCATCGTGTATCAACACCATTGATATTTACAGTGTATTTTGATTGAACTCACGCATTTTATGCAAGGCCATCCAAAAAACAAAACAAAACAAAAACAAAAAAAAAGAACAATCCTAGCCCCCACCATGGCTGGGATTCTTCGGGTTTTTGGTTTTTTGGTTGTTTGGTCCAGGGAAATGTTGCGCAACAAATTCCAAATGTTGCGCAACATCTGCGGAGCATGAGAGGATATGTGAACCTTTGTGAAAGAAGACATGTTCTGGGTGAGAGGATATGTGAATTTTATGTAGAGAAGAGTTATTGAAAAAGACATGTTTTGTGTGAGATGATATGTGAGTCTGTGTGGAAGAGTCAGGGTTACAGTGATTCATAAAAGTACAGCAAAATACAGTAAATATCATGTAAAACCACCATTTATGTAACACAAACTGTCCCAGCCATAGCCTGGCTTTATTCTACACAGGGTTCACTTTCCTTGGCAAGTCTTTCACATATGCTGACTTTGTTTCATTGAAAGAAGTCTTGTAAAAAGACATGTGTTGGGTGAGAGGATGTGTGAATTTTCTGTGGAAGAGTCTTTGAATGAAACAAGGCATGGTTTGTGTGGGAAGATATGTGAGTTATCTGTGGAAGAGCCTTTGAAAGAAGGCATGGTTTGTGTGGGAAGATATGTGAATTGAATTTTGTGTGGAAGAGCCATTGAAAAAGAGCATGGGTCACGTCCAAGGCGTCTTTCTTCAATGAGGCAAACCTCCTTCCTCTGGTCTCCCAGTGTGCAAATCTGAGCTATTCTTCCTGCCTGCTTCCGCGGTCAAAGCACATCTGAACCAAGCCCAAACCTGGGTACCTGGGGGGGGGGGGTAGCATATATATATATATACACGCCTCCCATCAACACCCTAACTTGGGATAACCCCTATCGAGCCATCCATCGAAGGATGGAGCGCCCCAGCAACGCCGTGCGCCTGAAGCGGGGCGCTTCCAAGATCATCGGCCGCGGGCGCTCGGTGACCCCGGACGATGTTGCGGTAAAGGCCGGAGGGTTTCGCAGATGTCATCTAGGTCCCCCAGTAGTGCCATCCATTGGTCTTATGTCATCCATTTACCAGGGAATCCCATCCATTTTACCAGGACACCTATGCCTGTGTTTGGCTTCCCCTTAGTTCACAAGCACTGAACCGGGTCCAAAGTAGTTCAGCCTGCCCAAAGCAGAAGAAGAACTATGTCCCGCAGTAGTGCCCTTTCTCACCCGTTTTTTGGCTTGCAGGGTTCCACTAAAATAGACTACAGACAAGAATGGTACCCTTATTCTAAGCTCTCTACTGGAGGACCTAGCAGATGTCATGGAAAAGGGGGGGCTATAGGGGGGGGTGGGGCTATCCCAGGATCAGCCCAAATTTTCACTACTATTTTTTACCTAAGGTTTGTCATCATCTAAATTGGGTCAACCATTCTTTTAGAAAGACAAACCCATACTTTCCCCAGGAATCCCTCCATTTCCCCTTTTTGGGCCTTCAAAAGTGACGGTTTCATTGGAACCCACCCTTGACACGCAGCTTTTGAAGGGGGAATCCAGTGACCCCTGTGTAGACACCTTTTTTGAGGCACCTCCTTTCCTAGGAAAGCCAAAAGGAAAACACCCAGCATGTTAGTGCGACCTCTAAAAAGCAAGACAGACCCATATTCCCCGTTTGGTGGTTTTCACATGTCACCTTGGCAGTGCGCAATGGGCTCCATTTTGGAGCGACGGACATCTTGTGGCGGTTTACGACTTCGGAGCCCGAGTCAGATTCCACTGACCTGACAGGTGAGAATGGACACCCATTAAAAACTTCCCCAGAATCAGTTCCACTTTTTGCCTCTCTTTTTTTGCTTTGAGTTCCCCTTTTTGCTTCTTTTTTTTGGGGGGGGGGCTTTTTTGGGGTTCCAACTTTGTTTTCCACTAACCAGGCGAAAATATATATATATATATATATTTGTTTGCTGGGGTCCTAATTCCAGCCAAGGAAAGTGATCCCTGTTTAAAGTGACAGAGTCACAAGGATGGTCCACATTATCACAGTTCCGGGTCACTTCTCATCAACTATCAAGAAAAGGGTGCCAACATTTCTCGCAAGGCCACTGGGTGTTCGGGCTTTTGACTGGATGCCCCAAACGCCGGATTCCATCAAATGTTGCACTCTTTTAGCCCTCGGTTAGCACATGTTTAAGGGGGAATCCAGAGGCCGGGTATCCAAATCACGCCCTAGATTATCCCTTTGCACCATATGTGTGTGTGTGTTTTGTGGGGGACCGCCCCCCCCTCTTTCAACAAAAGAACCAACAAGAAGCGGTTTCCTTTTGGTTTCCCTTTAAGACCATCAAAAAAAAGGCGGCTCCGCGCCACAAAGCCCCCTCACCCATCGCCAGGACGTTGAGATTGTTGAGAGCAACGAGACCAACAACCAGACCAACAACCAGACCAACGAGACCATCTCCTGAGCCGAGCCTCTGGGCCTCTGTCGGTGTTTGAGGTGAAGCCACGTGACGCCACAAAAACGCCTTTCGGATAGAAGCCTCTTCGACTCTACTGCAATGGGGTTGGACCCCTCATATTTCCTTTTAACCTGCAAGAGTTAAACTTTTGCTGGGGGAGCTACAGCACCCAAGTCAACTCGTACTCCATGAGAGGAGCCTGCAATCTCAAGAGCGTCCTGAAAAAGCCAGGTGCTTGATGCTGTCAGAAGATGGCGACAGTCGCAAGGTCTCCGCTGCCTAGCATTTTTCAACACATGAAATGACGTTCGTGGACCGAAACGGGCAATGCTCAGTGCCAACCTCTGAGATGGTACACCCCCCCCTTTAGAACTCTTATATCCACTTTTTAGGGTTCCTGGCAAATTTGTTTCAAACAACTTTTCCCTAAGACCACTTCATTCGAGTCTCCGCCTGCTGCGCTGAGGTTTTGGTTCCGGACCGTGAGCCCTGAGCCGTCTGCAAAGCAGGCGGTTTCTCTCTCGGATCTTTGAGGTGCCTCTGGCAAATGCCAAAACCGGCGCCGAACGAGGCTCACTTGCTGAAATCCAGCTAGGTGCCCGACCTCTCACCCCCTTTTTGGTAGGGAGAGTTCCCCTGCTAAAATAGACCAACAAGGAAAAACTGGTCCCCTTATTCTAACCTCTCTACTGGAGGACCTAGTTGTACATCTGGGGATCGTTTTAGTGGCAAATGCCAATCCACTCAGGAGGTGAGGAGGACGGTCGCCGGTGGATACCACGAGTTTATGAACAACGAGCCTTCATTCGCAAGCAAATGCGCACGCGAAAAGGCGGGAATGCACTGGCGGCATGAAGGTTCCGGATCAAGATGGATCAAGACATGGTATCATTGGCAAAAGAGATCTACTTGCCTTTGCTCCGCTGTATTGTACTGGTCGTAGAGATCCTGTGGCCCCTTCAAAAGGAGGGTTGCCACACGGTTGCGTCCCTTTTTGCCCTACATGCGAGGCAAAGAAAAAATGCGCGCATCGAGCGACGTCTTGGGACTTCTCCAGGTACACCCCACAGCCAACCACAAGTTTTGGGGGTCCAAGCCGGTCGGGCGGAATGTTTTTTGGAGGGCTCCCTTTTTGGGAGTGTTTGAACGGAAATTTCGGGGATACGCTTTGTCTTGGGGTCCTGAATTACACCCGCTTTCCTTGTCGTTTTCCTTTCAGACTATCCAAAGAAGGTGCTACATAAACCGATTCATGGTGATTGTGTTTCGTGGATATCGAGGTGAGCCACCTTCAGGTCTGGTTCTACTAAATGGTTGTTCGGTTGAATAAAGGTCTCATAACATGCTTGTTGTTGGGACACATTTCATATTTTTGCTTATTGTGGTTTAGTGGGAAAACCCCACTTACCTGCTAAAAAAAAATGTTTTTGCTCCCCTTCCAGCGTCGACCAAGATAAACCTGTATAACAATGGTAAACAGCAGCGGGGTTTGCGACAGGGGCCCATGAACTTGCTTGTGGTCGTAAGGAGGTCGACCCCATTTGGCCATGAACTTTAACTGGGGACCTCAAGAGTGCATGGACAGCAAAATTCGAAATTGTTTCCGCCATTTCGGGCCCCTTTCTTGTCGCCCATGCCCAAATCCCGTCATTTTGAGAGGCTAAAGACACAGTTGTTTCGAATTGAAAGCATAATCGATACATGAGAAAAAAAAAAAAAAAAAAAAACATGTACGTATACATATGTGTTATGTAGGAGTGAATAGAACATAACAATAAACCATTGCGACACCTTTTGTGCAATCGAAAAACCGGTTCCTTGACATTGGATTAAGACAGGGATGGTTCTCCAGCTCATCCATGAGTTGTCGATCAGGGGAACATCATGAACGGAGTGACCCAGATCCTCCACGTCTCAGGTTCAAAGCCTTGGCCGAACGCGACAGAACATGACTTGCGAACGCGAGAGGTGTACAATCATAGGTCGTCTTTTTTGGTTGATTTGGTTTGAAAATAGAGGGCGATTCCTGGTTTTTACCTGGCACCATGGCCATCTATTTTCCCAAAAAGGACACCTATGTGTACAATGATTCGTAGGGAACCACGACCCATGGAGGGTGTACCATGACCCATCCCATCGTAGGGAAGCTGCCGCGTGTTTCTTTTTTTTCTCCGTCGCAGGACTGTGAGGCCTTGCTGCGGAGGGCGGAGCTTGGGGCTCTGAGAGAAATCGGGGAGGGAAGGATCCATCGAACGGGACTCGGGTCTCGGACTTCGGGAGTGGTTTGTTACTAATATATATATATATATATACACATATATAGCCTAATCATAATACTATGTGTATGTGTATATATATATATATACAAATGCATACGAAGACGGTGGGAATTACTTGTTTTCCGTTTGGCTTCCCCTTTCAACCCACCAAGAGGAGGCTACTCTCAAAAAAGTGACACACCCAAAGAGGGTGTTAGCACGGGGTTTGAGGGAATCGCACATGTACCAACAGAGTTTTCCTGAAAGAGTTTGTTTTTTGCGAAACTGGCCAGACAACATGTGGCTACCTCCACCAAATGATGTGCCCAAAAGTTGGAGGCAATGTCGGTATGTCGGTCCATCATTCTGAAACGCCTGTTCTCTCAAGGACTGATAGTGTGTGTGTGTGTGTGTGTGTGAGTCAAAGTGATTTCACAAGCTGGCATTCATCCTGAGGTCGCAACACCGGAACTTGAGGCATCACAGCCTGCTTCTAGAAAGGGAACAGTTCATGAAACCGGCGCAGTTGTTGGATTTGGTTTAGCAGTTTTTGCAGGGTCAAAAATATAGGGCCCCTGATCGAAGGGTTATCATGAAACCTTTCGCGCGGAGATGCATTTTAGTTGCACCCACGTAGTAACCTCCTTCTTGAGTCTCCAAAGTAATGTGTGTCTCAAAATAGTGGTCCGTGCTAATAGAAAACGGAAGAAAACCAGCAAGAAAAGAGGGTTCCCATATTTTGAGGCAAACCCAAGTGGCCCAAGTGTGATTTACAAAACTGGTCTCTTGGGGATGCCCGCAGTAGGTACCCTCTTTCTAACAAATTCCATTCCCTTAAGAATATGTGTTCTTCTCCCCTATTGGTTTTTATGGAAATCTATCACTACTGGACATAGTTGTGTTTTTCTCCAGGGGACTTTAGTAGCAAATGGAAGACAATCATCAATCATGGTGGTCTTAAAGGGAAACCAAAGAAAAAAACATCATGTTCTTTTTGGGGGTCCCCTAAAAAGCTAGATACACCCTTGTCCACTTCCATGATCAGTGGTCAGAGCAAGCTTATCCAACAATTTTCGTTGGGCTCCTTTCTCGTGAGTAAATTATGCGTCCCTTGTTTCGGCCCGTTGCATCTTGGAATTGGGAGCTTAGCCGGTGGTGTCCATCAAATCTCGGGTTCACGCATCCTTGTCCCGGGTTTTTTGCCTGTCGGAAAAGATTCCGTTCCTAACCCTGGCCCCACTACTTCATGATCAAAGTCACCCCCGTTCAGTAGGGTAAAGGGAAACCACACCAGAAACATGACTTTGGTTATCTCACTTCCTGAGTTCATGAACTTTAAACTTTTTGGGAGGACCATTTTAGTGGTACAGAAAAAGTTGGGACTTTTTTTGGGCCATCCACTCAGCCAGTGAGTTATCCCCAGAAGCTGTGGGAACCTCCCGGAGCTTGGTTCCGCTGCTTGGCCATCCTCCCGCTTTGCCTCTTCGCGAAGATCCCCCCAGAAACTGGCAGAACATCTTGATGACAGATGAAATGGGTGGAATGTGTGTGTGTGTGTGCGTCCTGTTTCTTGGGGGGACGTCCCCAAATGGCTTGGGTCTTCCTGTTGGTTTCCCTGGAACACCTACCCCAAAGAAGGGGTAACCGCAGCACAAGACACACCCAAATGTCGGTGCGTTGCAGCTGGGAGCTTTGGATCCCATGCCTTGCATGGGATCCAAGCCCCCTCGCCGGATCTGGAGGGGTTGGACCGGGGTTGGATCGCCGGGTGGTCTCAGTCTAACCAGGTCCTGCTTGCTTCACCTCCTTAAAGTTGTCGGACTTGGTGTTTGGATGGATGGATGGATGGATGGATGGATGGATGGATGGATGGATGGATGGATGGATGGATGGATGGATGTATGGATGGATGGATGGATGGATGGATGGGAAGACCCTTTGGGTTGTAAGCAAAGGTTCAGACTTGTTGTTTGGCCACTCAGCTCAAGAAGCGAGTTGGTTGGGCAATGCAGGAATGACCTTGTCAGAGAAGCTTCCGCTTTTCCCGGGGCATGGTTGGTTGGCGTGAGTCCTGTTTTTGCATCTTTCTTTCCCTGCATCGGTTTCTGGCCGCCCTTCCCACAAGGTTCCAAGGCGGCTCGAGTTTCTGCCGGGATGATTGAATTTGTGGGGCCCGGGGCCCTTTATGTTAGGGACTAATGTAAACGCCGGATGTAACACAAAACCTGGTTGGTGCGGGTTCAGATAACTTTTGGGGAGCATCCCCCCTATTGATAGATAGAGCCGGCTTATTCATCCGAGGTCAACATTCCTTGGCGCATTTTGCTTGGATGTTAGGACTTTAACTTTTTGCCAACTAATGGGTTTTCCATTAAACCACTAAAAGTTAAAAACTTGGCGGGGGAGCAGAAAACAACCGAGCATTGGTGCTGATGGCGACTGCCGATTCAGGTTCACCCTGCAGGTGGTAGGCGTCCTTGGCGCGTGCCCGGAGGACGGGTGGAGCCATTCCTCGAAAAAAACAAAAAAACAAAAAACAAAAACGCGCTTGGGTAGAGAATTGGCCTCCCACCGACTAACATGGAAGTGCATAGACCCCTGTAGAAAGACTACTTCGTTCCTCTTGGAAAGGGGGGTTCCGCATTTCCATGTTTGTTGGTGGGAAGGTGCCAGGTTTGCCCTTTTCTACCCTTCCAGGGTCTTTGAAACCCTTTGTCGGGGGACCTTTTGCGATACCGGGTAAACATGGGTAAACCATTATAGGCCTATCTGGGCTGGTTTGGAGCAGAGTTCAGGACGCGTTCCGGAGGGGTTCGGAGGGTTTCGGAGGGTGGTGGGGATATTATATCCTGGGCTTAGGAATCAGCCAAACACTTTCCATGAGAATGCCGGGGTACGCAGCTCATGATATATCCGGTGGATTTTGGGGCTGCAAAAAGCGTGCGCCTTGGAGACCCTGACGCGAATTGTTGGGCCAGGCTGGGGAAACATGGGTTTAGCCACGCACGCCTGGGCCGGAGTGTTCAAAGAGTTTTGGTTCAAACAAGTTTACAAGGGGATTGCCAACCCCACCCTGCTTGGTGCACTATGGGCTCTTTGATTGAGA